CCCCCCCCCCCCCCCCCCCCCCCCCCACCGGCAGCCTCGCTAGCCTCCATCGCCGTCTCAGTTTATGCGGCCAGCCCCCGTAAGGGCAAGGGTGTTCCTTTCTCACCACCAGAACGGGCCCGCCGCCACATCCATCTCCCTCCCTCGTAGATCCGAAGCGATCGCATAACGGGTGGCCAAACCGCCACCCAATCGCGAACAGCCGCCGTCCGTCCCTTGCCTTTTCTTTCCCCCCATTTCCCTTTCTCTTCGCAAAGCCCTTTCCCCGACCATGCCACCCTGACGCCATCCATCCCCTGCCAGCCCCGGCCCAGGCCGGCCGAGCCCGTACAAACAGTCGTGCCCCTTGGCCCCCAGCAAGGGAACAGCCCCAAGAAGTGACGTGACGGCGTTTGACGCCATGCATGAACTCGTGGAACGAGCTTCTCGCCTGCCTCCGCAGTCCAGACCGCACCAACCAGACACCTCCCCCCACCACCCGCAGCAACCGGCCAGGCCCTCCACAACAGCCAGATCCTTCCTCGTAGAACTTTGGGAGCTTCATGCTGTACTGTTGCGGGCTAGTTTACGGATCAAATGATACCTACACTACACACTACACTACACTACGTCCACACCCGTGCATTGCCTTTCCCGGCCCTGCGGGATGGTCGGTACTTGGTGCACTAACATTATGCGTTGGGGCCAGGCATCCGGTCACGAGGGCGCGGGTCTCGTTGGCGATCGCCGAGTCGGGCATGTCCGACGACCTGCTGGCCTAGGCTGCCGGAGGCCTGACGATTAGTAGTCGAAAGTGGGACGACGGGTCAGGCAAGGACTTGTTGGACATCGTCGATTATCTGTCAAGTCTGTCTAGATGCTGCAACGAGGTGACAAGTCTGACGCCAGTTCATCGTTGAGATCGAAATACGTTTATGCTCGTGAGCGGTAGTGGGTGCACAATGACAAAAGTGCATCATAGGACACAGATATTGAACCAACAGCACTCGATAGCTTCTCGCACAACGGGGTTGGCGGCGAATAAGGTCAATCAATGGAGTAACATGCTATCTGTATGGCCAACTGCCCTGACTTGAATGGTCCTCTAGTAGAATGTAACATGGTTGAAGATAAAATAGGATTAGCAAGACATCCAAAGAAACGGTAATAAGACTGTGTAGTGCAAGAAAAGCCAAAGCCCGTCGTGTCGGCCTCCCTCGAACGAAAAACTCTCTGCTAATGTTTGGTATCGTAGAAATACCGCTTGGGATCACCAAGTGGCTCAGCAGCAGCCCTCTTTCTCACACCGCAATCCTCGCATACCACCCATATGACTCGATCGGTCCGGGGTGTGCTGTACTGAGAAGAGCAACGGAGTGTAGAATGATCCCGCGAGTGCCTTCCCGGAACCCGTGGTAGCGGCAGCCCGGCGATATCCGAGTCGTCGGCAGTGGCTCGGGAGAGAACTCGATGGGATGCCACGGACCTGCGGACGAGATTGGTGCTTAGTGAGGAGGCCCTTGGGCCGATCTGGGCTCCACGCCACACCCCAGCATCACCATTCAGGGGAATGGTGGACTCGATAGCGACTGTTGGTATCTTCTCGCCCGCAGTGCTTTGACTGGCCTCTGATACGCGTTGTGCTTCTTTGTCTCCGAGAACGTCCTTTCGTCTTCCATGGTGGCCCAGCTTGCCAATGTTGATGAACGGAGAGACAAGTAATGACACACCACCAATCGAGGCCATGGCAATGAATACCTTGCTGTATGCCTCAGGTGAGCGTGTCTCCAGGCTCCCCTTGCGCACTGTGGACCATACGGCAGCGGTAGTGGCAAGGCCCAAAGGTATTGCGAGCCTGACGACCGTGTGCGAAACGACAATGCCCATGACACGTTTGCGGATCGGGACGATAGACGTCAGATATTGCTGCCATATTGTCAGCGATGATACCAGCAGAAGTGGACCATGGGCTTACCACTGCAATATGCAATGTCCACTCAGCACCAATTGCACCCAGGATGAGAGATGGGAAGACAAAGGTGAAGTAATTGCTGTGCTCATCGGGGAATATCATGAGTACCGCACTCAATATTGAGCAAACGGAAGCCAGGATCAGGAGCAGTGTGGTATGTACATTGCGGGAGAGTACCACCACCATGAGGCTGGCAAGGACTCCTATGAGAGCTTGAGGCAGCAAACGAAGAGCAACTTGGAGCGGTGACAAGTTGTAGGTAGCCTGGAGGAAGAACGGAACCCAGAATAAAGATGAATAGTGACTCAGAAATGTAGCCAAGGTGAAGACAATAATCTCAAAGGCGGGTTAGCACGACAACTCTCTAGTATTGCCTCCACTGATCACTTACCAAAATTGAGTTGCGATCTTTCCAAACGATTGATGGTACGATCGAAGCTTTAGCCAAGAAGACCTCCTAGAGAACCAGACAAGCCATGAACGCCACTCCAACGACTAGCAGGACGATGCAAGGCGGTCTTTTCCAGTCGCTACTGAGTTCATCCATGGTGAGCACCCTGCAAAGTAGACCGAGGCCGATAACGAGGAGTAGTTCTCCGACCCAGTCAAAACTCAACAGCCGATTTCTCCAGGACGTGCTGTGTTGTTGTACACCGAAAACGCCTGGAAGTTCTTGAGTCTCGTTCCTTGCGTTTGCCAGCGTGTCGATATTTGGCAGACAAAAGTATCCCAGTGGGACGAGAATCGAGAAAAGAGCTCCGGCGAAGACGAATGCATAACCCCAGTCCGATAAAGTGACTGCGAGTCCGGCCCCGAGGGCTCCGATGACATAACCGAGAGAGCTGCCCCCGACAATAGTAAGGACCACCAACGTATCCTGCCGTTCAGGAAACGCTTGATATATCACAGAGATCAGCTCAATGACCTGCAACAGGTTCATGGTGCAGAAGACGGTGGCCAGCAACGTCGTGATAACCACTGAAGTCGGGCTTCTGCAAAGCGAAACGAAGCCCATTGTCATGGCATACAGAGCAAGAGAAACTAAGAGCAGAAGCCTTTGTGAGACGCGCATACATTGGGTTGTGATGTGATCGAGAGGGAGAAGTAGGACAGCCGAAGCGAGTCTGCGCAGAGGAAGGAAGAGTTAGTCCATCACACAAACTTTTCCGGGGCCGAGAGATGGGTAGAAGCGTACCCAGCTGCAGTGACGGTCCAAACGACCTGACTAGTCCCTATAGATAGCGAAGACTGTATTGTGAAATACGAGATGGTCTGTATTCTGAACAAGACCATGAAGCTTGAAGAGGCGAGAACGGTGAAGCAGATGAAGCAAGCCTCTTGGAGCTGAGAAGAGAAACACGCAGGATGCCTTTGAGAGCCTATGCGTGTCTGGTCGTTTCGGTCATCATCGAGATAGACATCTTCGAGCTCCTCTCGTGGTATATCAAGACCTAAAGGGCGAAGACGTGGATCTCGAAGCTGGAAAATTCTGGCGTTTAGTCGCATGGCAGCGGTGGTCCTGATGGTATTGGTGTCACGGTTGAGCGGACGGCTGCTTAACTTGGCAACATCGGCGTGCTAGAGGGGGTTTGAGTGTCAAGAATCAAAAGGAAAGGATTGGAAGAAACATGCATTAAAGGGATTAGAGGGTGTGCAAAGCCGGGTTGTCACCATCGAAGTCTGCGCAGGCCCGGGTCCATCCTCGTAGGCCTTGCCATTTTCAAGCATCTGAGCGTCTCTATCATGCCTTATGAACTTTAGGAATTGTATGGTGCTCTCACGTGGTAGGAAATGATGTGTTTCTTTGCTGTAGAAGGCTCGATTCACACCATGAAGCGATGAATTGTTTGCCGCCAAGAATGATGGTTGGCACTGCAGCTGAGGCTACAAGCCCCCGAAGGCAAAGAGCACGACGCTGTCCTAGCTGGAGTAGTCCGGGAGTGGTCTCAAGCCAAGATGGAAATCTCGACCATTCCTTCCAGGGTTCCCCTTTTGATGATCACCTCTGACAGGCAAGTGCCCAGTTGACAGGCCTTGATGTCGTGGTTCCCAAATTGGGAAGGCGGAGACCTCCTATTGGCTGCAAGCAGGAAGCACCCGAGCCGCGACGCTAAGGCCGGTTCAGGGGACCAGCACACGTGACACCAAATTTCGAGCTTTGGCCGAGACATCAGCAGGAATCTTTTTTTTCTGTCGCCTGCTCGTATGAGGAGCTTCAATTCCGCGGCGACCAAGACGACAAACCCATCCCGAAGCCACTCCGCCCGTGAACGACGCCCGGGGCTCAACATCCATTCCTTTTCCCTTCGAACAACTAGCAGCTTTCTAATTGGCGGCATTCTGGTCTTCCACAAGACGTCGTGATCCAGCGTTGGACTCGGCTCGGACGAAAGCGCCCCCCCCGGAAAACTACAATCGCTTGGCCCCCTTGAAACCAAAGCCACGATGGACGCCCCTCTCCTCGCCAGGCAGATCTCCAGCAGCTGCCTGAGCTCCTCGATGCGCCGCCTCGCCCTCTCAGACTCATCGCGGGCCCTCCCCGCGAACCAGATCCGCCACCAGTCCTCCGCCTCCCGGACCAAGCGCGCCCTCAACATCCCGCCGCACCCGTCCTTCCTCACCTCCTCGTCCTCCTCAGCAGCAGCGCCGACCACCCAGTCATCAGACCACATCATCTTCAACCCGCCGGCCTCGGCCCCCTCCGTCTATCACACACCCTTCAAGTTCCTCCCCAAGTCCGACCCCCGGCGCCGCGCCAACCTCAACGCCCTCTTCTCCTCCTCCACGACCGTCCGCTTCAGCGACTCCTCTTCTACCTCGCCCTCATCCGCTGCCGCTGCCGACGGCGGCGCCGTCCCAGAACTGCCCCCGCGCGTCGAGCACGACTACTACCGGGCCTCGCGGCACCACCTGTCCAAGGAGGACGTCGCCGAGATGCGGCGCCTGCGCGCCCAGGACCCCCTGGCCTGGAGCGTGCACGCCCTGGCCAAGAAGTACGACTGCTCGCCCATCTTCGTCATGATGGTCGTGCAGGCCTCGCAGGAGCACAAGGACCAGGTGCGCGCGCGCCTCAACGGCATCCGCAGCCGGTGGGGCCCCAAGAAGGCCCAGGCGCGCGAGGACCGGAGGAAGCGGAGGGAGATGCTGTACAACGGCGAGATATGATCGATCCCCTCTGTGGTCACTGGGGGATTAAATATCTGTGATGCTCGTGTGCAGTGATTGGAGGGAGAACAGAGAAGTCATAGGAGCGTTGACAAACAAGTGTATGAAAATGTATCCTGTACATTATTTACCAGCTGGCATGTAAAGTATATACGGGCAGCGAAAAAGATGCGGATGGAACAAAAAGCCGGGCACCTGCATGTTCGATAGAAGCGTCCAAGTTGAACTCTTTGCAGAGGTCAAGCCCCGGACTTCTTGGAGGCGGTCTCCATTCTTTTGTACAACACAATCAAAAATTACATTCATAATTGCATAAGGACGGCTCTTCTTGGATGAAAGTGAAATTCATAGTGTTGCTGAGAACTATTTCTACAGCTTTTTTATGTGCCACCCGGTCTGCGACAGGCCTTATTGTCCTCGCGTGCCTAGATAGATGATTATAACCTGTGTTTCTCCAAAAAAGGGGATCGTAGCTTTTCTTCGTGTTGTCCATTGTAGCCTTTATTACCATGAGTCCAAGACAAGGAAACCCAATACCAATTCAACCAAAAACGCCGTGTTGGTTCGTCAATCATGATTCCGATGACGAGCTGGAACCCGAAGATGCCGCGCAATCGTCACCGTCGAGGTCCTTCCTGCTGGGTATCACCCTCCAGCACCACCCGCACCAGCTCCTGACCCGCCCCTGGATCTCCCTCTGCATGAGCAGACTGTTTTGCCTTTCTTCGCGGTACTCGGGTACACAAGCTCCGATCTTGACCATCTTGACCATGGTCTTCTTGATCACTCCGCCAATACCCTCGACCTCATGCCGGGCGTACCCCGGGCCCAGGGCCGGGGACGGCGTCCTCTCGGCGGTGTCGTTAGGTGGCATAAAGGTCCACGACGCATTCAGGGCTGTTGGCAGACTACTCTCGCTGCTCCAAGGCGGAGCAACAGTCGAGTGCGTTGCGGGAGAGGAGCCGAGCACGAAGCCCTCTCCTCTTGCGTCCTCAGCGTCGCAGTCGATCTCCTGTTCACGCTCTTTGGCGGCACAGCAGCTTCCTTCACGCCCGCAGATGACGCCGCGATCTCCCTCGCCGATGCCTATGCCTACATTGCCGTGCGGATCACCATACTGGTTTCGCCACTTCCAAATTCTGTGAAAGATGGTAAGTGAGTGTTCTTCACCCCTGCATCTTGAGGATGTGGGTCATATATCATACGCTTGGTAGTCAAAGTCTGCGCCGCGTATGCTTCGACCGCAGGGCTGGCAAAGCCAAACACCCGACGTGGCACACTTGCAGACTGCCCGTTGCACGTCATCCGAGTCAATAGAGACATCGGGAGGTAGACGAGGCTTGCACAGTTCGCCAATGGGAGCTTTGACACAGGCACGGCAGAGCCTACGATGTCGGTCACGCAGTACGACAGGCATGGGAGGCTTTATGGCGCAGTTCTATAGCGCAAATGACGGTCAGCTTGATGTACACCTCCAAGCTTGGGAGCGTGGGAGAAGGCAACTCACTCTGCAAACGACTGTGCCGCAGCGGCGGCATTCCGAGACCATATCTCGTGCACACTCACCAGCTTTGCCATTGTAGTTACCGGACCGGCCGGTCTCCTCCATGTAGAACCAGTTGCCAGCCCTGGCCCGATAGCGCAGAGTCTCCTCACCATCGACGGGAAGATCGTCGTTGCAGCATCGGAGAGTGGTCGCCAGAAGCGGCTTGCGGTACTGGAGGAGGTCGGCACGGACCTGGCGGCAGGTCTGGGATAAGTTGTCGAGAGTGTTCAGATCAATGTTGGCCGTGATGGCGCTGATGATACTGGATGAGAGTGACGACTTGTTAGTGCTTCCCCTCGCCCCATGAATGGAACGAGCTGGGAGTGCGTTGTTGGGTTTGAATAAAAACGTAAAAACGTAAAAAGAAAGCCAAATAGCTGGGTCAAGGTTGTCGGCCTACGGGTAGCATCCCAAAGCTTCCGTCAGAGCGTTCCGGTTGTGGAACTCCTGGACGGCGAACTCGTGTGCCTCGTCGCGTGTGTCTTTGGACACGGCTGGCGGCTGCTCACGGCGACTACCGGCGATATCAAGGTTGTGCAACTTCCAGATGGGCAAATCACCACTGGGATGTTGCGGTGGTTCGAGATCGTCATCCTCAAGCTCTACGAATACCGCCATACTTGCTGAAGGGCGGTAAGTTTCAAGGAGGGCAGAGGCTTTGATAAGACGGATGAAGGGACGACCGAGAAGAGATAAGGGAACAAGACAGCCAAGCTGCGGGGAAGAGACGATTAATGCGGTATTGAGGGAAGCATTGGAAGGGACGAAGAGGCCATGACACGGCGGCAGGTCTCGTCCATCGAACTATGGGAAGTACGGAGGTTTAAAAGAAGAAGGAAATGGAGTTTCGTTCTGGGATTGCGCAACAGGTCCCGCGAAGTCGGGGCAATGATTGAGTATTTGCGTGCTGGCAGCGAGCAGTGCCTCGATTTGGCCCCTCCTCTTCGAGTAAAGTTAGGAGGAACTCCTCCACCGCGTCCCCACCATATTCAGACAGCGGAGTGGGGCGCTGGGAAGAAGCAGGTTACGCCTGCCGCATCTGAACTTAGTAGCACAAATGCTACACTGCAGGTGACTTGGAGGTGACGTCCTGCATTTTCCAGTGGTCTTTCTCAGCTGCCAATTGGCCAACTGTCACATGGAGAGTCAGGCAAGTCGCACTTACGGGCCGTCAGGTCGACAATATTTACAAGTACATGTTCCATCGAAACTGTCGTCCCGCCTCTGAATCGCAGCTTGGCCAGCTTTGCTGTTGCAAGTCGCGTTTCTCGACAGAAAAGAACACCGCGTGGAGCCCCGATTCCGGGCTGTTTAGGCCCGGCTACTAAAACCCTTAGAGAATATGCAGGTGCTCCTGGTATATCACGCGGCGGTCCAGGGCTGCCAAGCGTGTCGGGTAGGCATGTTAAGGCACTTTATTACGTTATGGCTTGCTTTTTCCCTCACATGCACTTCTTTAACATGCATGTAGTTATGGATGAGGAGGCATGGCCATCAAATCTGGGAGAATTGCGACATTTTCCGCTCAATAGATTCCTCCTGCTTAGGTAGGCACTGCAAACGATCTCTCTAAATTCAGAAAGCCTGCCCGCTCATCCTTGGCTGTGTTGTATGCCGGCATTGCAGATGCGAAGATCCAAACGCCTTCCAGCCTGAGTCGTGGCGTGTAGTGAGGAGGATGTTGGTCCAGGTATGGCCACGAGGGATTCACATGGTAATGGTACGTATACGTTTCTCCCTTCAAGAGATCCTTGGGCCGAAGCCGGCCCCTGGCCAAGGTTGCAAGGCAAAGAATACCCCTCAGCTCCATCAAGAAGCCTGATGATCGACAGGAACGTTCTCCGAAAACCAAGCCATCTAATCTTATCAGATCTAAATTTTCCATCCCATCACAGATTAGCGTGGAATGACCTCCGGGGTTACCACCGAGCTAAGGTACGATATTTCTCTTCTCATTTTCTGCCAAACGCGTGAAAAGCTTGGTGTGCCGCTTTCCTGGGTTCTAGAGCGTCTCCACCTGTTTCCTTCTCCTCCCTGCCGTTCACGATGCGGTCCCTGGACTACACTCCGAGATGAGCCTCGCCCCAGTGCTTTGTGCAGGCAGAGGCAAGCGTGCTGCTTGCAGAATAGCTTCAAACCGAGACGACACCGAGATAACTCGGTATCTCAGTGATATTTCTACAAAGCACACTTTGCAAAGTGGGTGACTTCATCCAGTGTTATAGACTGACTGCAGGTCATGACCAATCTGCAGGCAGTGCTTCTATTGACACATTCTCATAATACATGCAGGTAGGACACCTGATAAAAAATAATCCCAATCATACATATGATACAAATGCATGTGATACAAGGCATTTGAAAATTTGCCAGAAGATTGTGGCTTGCAGTCGTCTTTCTCTATAGAGTAGACACTGAGCCACTCACATATGGAACTGCCAAATGCCGATTTCAGAACAACTGCATCCTTATAAAGCAAGAGAAATTATGAGTGTTTGTTTTGGAGAGCTGATGGGCAATCTGTGGAGAGCATGGGTAACTTACCCTGAGGATGAATCCCGTCGTTGACTCGCTTCCCAGACAAACACCACTCATGACTCTCCTTTTGGCAGGGTGATGCATAACGATGGTTCATTCCTTTTTTTGAACGCGTGAGCCGAACTGTTTGATGGCAGTGACAGTAACCCAAGCAAGGGCCACGATTGCTACTGTAAACCGGATCTCCCTGGCTAGCTGGAGGGAGGACTGCGGAAAGAGGAATGAATGGACATGGTTGATCGAGCCCGAGTGCTGAGACTGAAGCACAAATTGCTCCATCTTGCCCTGAGATACGCGGCCAGCAGAGATCAGGGCTTGTCTTGTGTGCTGAAGATGTCTGGTGCTGTGATGGAGAGCTACCTAACCTATCCAGAATTTCAGGAGCGAAAAATATGCCAAATCTGTACTGGTCCTGGCCATCATGTTCCTGCGGAGACTACCGAAGACACTGGACAAGAGTGCGCTAAGATACCATATCTCGGAGTGGAGAATGAGATTGACGCTCCAGCTGGCTGTGAGCGGTTCCCTTATCGAGAAATTCCCCCATTGAGAATTTCCCCGATCTGGTCACACGTTAGATAAGGAGACTTCGGTTCCCGATGATGTGATAGAAAGCACCCGTGGTACCGGAGAGCTACATCGTCAAGAAAGCAAAGCACTCGACTTATCACCAAGGCTACAGCCCATTCCACAAGGTGCTCTTTGTCACGATCCTCCCAACAGAACCACACTTCCCAGCTTTGGAAAGCTGTGACGATTTCGGTACCCACCTGGTGGATGAGGGTGGAGCCCATTTACACCTGTGGGGGTCGTTTGACCCTGTGACAGCGGCTGTGACCACTCATTTCAGTGCACACCAGCTGCTTGGAGCAGCTCCCTGCCCGCTAGAGCTTAACATTAGTGCAAGTGCGTCCCGCTCGCCCACAGCTCTGTGTTCTTTGGACGTCCAAACTCATCGTGAAGTCATACTCTTGGATCACCGCCACTTCAAGACCCTTTCTCCAGCTCTGCATTCCTGCCTTTGAGGATTTCCACCCTCTCACATACCACTCCCTCTCAGTCCTCTGCCTGCATCAGAAGGCAATTCATCTCTCCTCCACATCAATTCGCCATTCTCCAGCCGTCCGCAACCTATCCGGCGACACTTTGACACCTCCCAGCAGGGCGACCAATCCCCAATCACCTGGACCCTGAACATCGGTCAGCTCTGCCACAAGCTGAAAATTGCAATTCTCCAACGGAGCTCGTTCTGCTGCCGCCTCTACCTGTGATCAGTCTAGCTGGTATCAGTCAGCGTCAGGTGAGGTTGTTTTCACTTTTAGCATCAACTTCTGCACCCAATCCGTTTCTTTGTCGGGAACCTTCGTTCCTTTTGCAGCTTGTGTAACAGCTCGTGAACCGGGCATTTTTTCCACCCCATGGGTTTGGGAGCTTCCATGCCCTGTCGCACCAATTGAAGTCTTGTGAGACTAATCTTGAAAAATATGACTGCAGGTCAAGACATCGTCACTCCTCCAACGAGCCGCTCTACCATGCTATGAAACAACCCCACGACCAGAAACACGGACCTCCGATGATCTGATTCTCTACCGCACTGACTACCACCACCGCTATCTTCCTTTGATCAATTTGGCGAGCCACAACATTACGCACTTGGACACCTTCAATATCTCAACACTCCTACTGCTCTGTCTAATAGCAGTCCCGCTCTCTCATCATGGCGTCCCCGGGTCCGAGAAAGGATTCGGGCGATGACTTCGGTGTGTTTGACGATGCCCGCACATACTACACGACTGACGAGCGCCATATGAATACCCGCGGCGGTGTCCGCACCCGGACCTACTCTCAGAACAGTTTGCAGAAACAATTCGCACGCCTGGGCCTCAAGGAACCCTTCCGCCGAGGTAGCCACGACGAGTCCAGCCCAACAACCTCGAGGAAGTTCCTCATTGACGTCGACCACACTCTTGAGAACTTGCAGCTACAGGAAGACACGGACAATAACTTCCAAATCACCATCGAGGACAGCGGCCCCAAAGTGTTCACGCTTCGCACAGCTGCGTCCAACGGTTTCAATCGGTACGACGTTCGAGGCACATACATGCTCTCGAATCTCATGCAGGAACTCACTCTGGCAAAGGAGTATGGTCGTAAGCAGATCATCCTGGACGAGGCTCGTCTGAATGAAAACCCTGTCAACCGACTGTCTCGTATGATTCGAGACCACTTCTGGGACAGCTTGACCAGGCGTATCGACGCCTCCAGCATTGAGGTCGCCGCTCGCGATCCCAAAGACTGGACCGACGATCCTCGTCCTCGAATCTACATACCCCCAGGTGCACCCGAGCAGTTTGAGTACTACACCAAGCTGGCCGCCGAGCGACCTGAGATCCGTCTGGACGTGGTTCTCCTGCCTGAGAAGATAACCCCGGAGCTTGTTCGGGATTTGAATGACAAGCCAGGCCTCCTGGCTGTGGACATGGAGGAGGTAGAAGATCCTGCCACGGGAAAGACGACTTTGCAAGGTCGACCATTTGTCGTGCCAGGCGGTCGATTCAATGAGCTCTACGGCTGGGACAGCTATATGGAATCTTTGGGTCTGCTTGTTAACAACAAAGTTGACCTAGCCAAGTCCATGGTGTTGAACTTCTGCTTCTGCATCAAGCACTACGGCAAGATCCTGAACGCGACTCGCTCTTATTACTTGTGCCGGTCACAGCCGCCCTTCTTGACAGATATGGCGCTGCGTGTCTACGATCGCATCCAGGATGAGCCAGGAGCCAAGGACTTTCTGCGGACCGCCATTCTAGCCGCAATCAAGGAATACCACAGTGTCTGGGTTGCTGAGCCACGACTAGACCCGATCACCGGACTGTCGAGATACCGGCCCGAAGGCCTGGGTGTCCCTCCCGAGACGGAGGCCACTCACTTTGTCCATATCCTCGAGCCGTATGCCGAGAAGCACAAGATGACCTTTGAGGAGTTTGTTGATGCCTACAACCACGGCCGCATCAAGGAACCCGCACTGGACGAATACTTCTTGCACGACCGCGCGGTCCGCGAATCCGGCCATGACACGAGCTACCGATTGGAGAGGGTCTGCGCCAATCTTGCCACCATCGACCTCAATTCTCTGCTCTTCAAGTACGAGTCTGATATCGCGAGGACCATCCGCAACGTGTTCAATGACAAGCTCGTCATCCCTGCAGAGTTTTGCGTGGGCACAATGACACCTGGCCAGGTCGAGACGTCGGCGATCTGGGACCGTCGCATGAAGCGGAGAAAGCTGGCCATCAACAGGTACCTGTGGAACGAGGAGAAGGGCATGTTCTTTGACTATGACACGGTCAAGAAGGAGCAGTGCACGTACGAGAGCTGCACGACGTTTTGGGCGATGTGGGCCGGCGTTGTCAGCCCGCACCAGGCCGCGGTAATGATGACCAAGGCTCTGCCGAAGTTTGAAGCAACGGGCGGTCTGTTGTCGGGCACGGAGGAGTCCCGCGGCACGATATCTCTGGAGCGTCCCAACCGGCAGTGGGATTACCCGTACGGCTGGGCGCCGCAGCAGATGCTAGCCTGGACCGGGCTGCACCGGTACGGCTATGTTGAGGAGGCGGAGAGGTTGGCCTACAAGTGGCTCTTCATGATCACCAAGGCGTACTACGACTACAACGGGGTCGTCGTTGAGAAATATGACGTAACCCGGCCGGTCGACCCTCATCGGGTAGATGCGGAGTATGGAAACCAGGGGTTGGATTTCAAGGGGGTCGCCAAGGAAGGGTAAGTCTATCCGATTCGCTGCTTGTCACCGCTTCGAGGCTGTTTTTTGAAATCCTGGGGAAGAAAGAGGCTGAGAATTTTCGGGCTAACGATTTCTGTCATGTAGGTTCGGCTGGGTCAATGCCAGCTACATCTACGGCCTCCAGATCGTCGGCGCCCACGCCAGAGTCGCCCTTGGGACTATGACTCCGTGGGACGCTTTCGTTAGGGCGGTCGAGAACGAGCGGCAGAAGGCGCTCGAGTCGATGGAGTAAAGAGCCGGGGAGCTCTGGGTATCGTGTTCCGGCTGTTCGATATGGTGTTTTTCCCTGCGATGACTTCAAACAGGTGCGACTTCAATCTTCCCCATCCAGGAGACAAGAAAGGTGCATCGACATGGTGGCATCATCATCATAGGTGGCATTGCATCAAAATACTGGGGATTCTTCATTATTATTGGTGGCATTCAAGAATGGCATTCCTGCCGCAATAGCAGGCCGCACGGGATGAGAAAATAGTCTATATGCGATGCGTTGAGTTTCTCTTTTTTATCTTCCTTTTGACGGATTACCGTACGTAGAGATATGATTACTTCCTTCAAAGCCTAACCAGACGGAGCTGTGACCGATCAAGACAAGCTTGCACCTTTGAGGTCGTCTTGGCTTACGGTGCAGCCCTAGATCCTGAGTACTTAACCAACTCTTGATATTATGGCAGTCCGGCATGTGACGCGGCCAATCCCGAATATTATTCGGAAGCAGGGAATAGGTAGGTAGGCAATCTTGAGATAGCCAGGATGTGCGATGTGCTTTCGTGACAGGAGACAGGCATGGTCGGTAGACCTCGGTCCAGCGCATCTGAGTCATTGTCCAATCAGGGGGAATTGGCACCATCTCGACGGCGCACACACCCGTGCCGGCTACCGTGTGGGCCTCGTGCTGGTCCAAGCAGCTGATAGCCCACCTGGCTGCTTTTCTTGGGGGCTTTCACGTTCAGGGCAGACTCTGGCTGGTGCACCCGCCCGATGCACGCTCACCAAGCCGCCTGGCCTTATGACGACAGCTTTCACATGTTTTCTCTCACCGCAAAAAATTGGCGGAGAGGGGAAGGAGAGCACATGCTCACAACAACAGCAGTGCCTGCTTTAATTGGAACAAGGGGGTTTCAAACACATGGGCACTTTTTGACAATAGACATATTTACGCAATTTTGGGTCTCGTAAATACGTTCGGTGATCGCAGCAAAGGCAATCCAAGCGTCAATCGCCTCTTGACTCACAAGATGATCTGTTTTGGAGGACCCGGGTCTCCATCATCCTTGGAAAATTACAGAACCGTGCATCCTCCGTACTGCGCCGTTATTGGATGCAGCAGTCCCGTTGCCCCGGGCCAAGGTCGAAATTCAACGAGAAAAAAGAGGTGGACTCTGAGGAATGGAAGGCCTGGCCAGGGCCAACAGGTGCTTGTTGCGGGGGAGGGGGGCCCGCCACCCTGACAGAGTGTAGCGCGGCATTCGGTATCGTTCGGCGAATGGCAAAGTGCCGGACACAAGGTTACCCAAGTCAGGTCTAGCTGGGTACCTGGCCTTCCTACCTCTCCCGCCACCATTCTGAGTACCTGAATCTGCTGTGGCAAGCTGACCCGCAGACAGCACAGATATGCCTAGGTACCGCCGTCTTGTGTTTGCAGGAGAAAGTAGTGGGTCTTCCCTTTAAGCCGAGAATGATGTCGACACTTGCTCGGCCCCAAGGGAGAGAGGCCAAACCAAACAGAGCACACAACGCTCTGATCACATTGGCGATGGGAGGCCAGACAAGCGCTGGCCAGCCTGACCATTGGCAGCCGGTGCTGCTACTAGGTACGTAGCTATGGCGAATCTCACTCCTGCCCATGCTCCCTAGTCGAGCAATCCTGTGTGATCTGATCGTGGCTTGGCTCAAGAGCGTACCTAAAGTTCCCGAGGATGTCAGGTATGGGGTTGCTTTTCTCCCCACATGATACGCAATTGGACCAAAGAGATGCGGCTGGATAGAGACGTCTTTGGCATGTTTCGTGTCCAGGCTTGCCAGGGAAGAGTCATACTGATGTATCTTCACTGCCCTGCTTCCCATCCTGAAAAGTTTAAAAGTACTTGATCGTCCGCCTCTCCTGCTGGACCGAACATTCCCGAACGGTTTGAGCCTTTCTTTTGGTTGCTGATATCGCACCCATACTTACACACACTCTCCCCTCCATCCTTGTGATTGTATCTTGCCCCAAGAGCAATTGACTCTTGGATCTTCTGTTATACACTTGTCTTGCACATTGAGCTTCGTCCGCTTTGTGCTTGCAAATATCCATCATCATCACATCTATCACGACCTTCCTCTCGTGATCCTTTCGACCTGTGACAGTCTACGGTCGAAACTTTAATCAGTGCTGCGGTTTCCACTTAGACCACGCCTCGGCACGACTAACACACCACACCACTAACTCCCCCTTGGTCCATTTGTAAAGCAGACACGCCGTCAGCTCTCTACGTTCTTGGTGCCGACCTTTTCTCACACTCTCTACCCTTACGAGTCGGAAAAGGATCTTTCTGAATACTACGAAATCTCTTCTCTAACTCGCCGAGTCGTCTCTTCTCAAAACACCATGGCGGCCAACAACATGATCAACACCTCGGTGGACCCCAAGACCGAGGACGCCATCTTCGCCCAAGAGGTCGCCCAGGTCAAGAAGTGGTGGAGTGACTCAAGATGGCGCCAGACCAAGAGGCCCTTCACAGCTGAGCAGATCGTCTCAAAGCGTGGCAACCTCAAGATTGAGTATCCCAGCAACACCCAGTCAAAAAAGCTGTGGAAGATCCTCGAGAAGCGCTTCCAGGTGAGATTTTCCCATCCCAGGCCCGAGCAGACCCAATTGGCACGTGAAAGACTAACATGCCATGCCCGGCATAACAGGAGAAGGATGCTAGCTACACCTATGGCTGCCTCGAGCCCACCATGGTCACCCAGATGGCCAAGTACCTCGACACCGTCTACGTCTCCGGCTGGCAGTCGTCCTCCACGGCCTCGTCCTCTGACGAGCCCGGCCCGGATCTGGCTGACTACCCCTACACCACCGTGCCCAACAAGGTCGGCCACCTGTTCATGGCCCAGCTCTTCCACGACCGCAAGCAGCGCCAGGAGCGCATGACGACCCCCAAGGCCCAGCGCGGCAACGTCGCCAACGTCGACTACCTGCGGCCCATCATCGCCGACGCCGACACGGGCCACGGCGGCCTGACGGCCGTCATGAAGCTGACCAAGCTGTTCATCGAGAAGGGCGCGGCGGGCATCCACATCGAGGACCAGGCGCCCGGCACGAAGAAGTGCGGCCACATGGCGGGCAAGGTGCTGGTGCCCATCAGCGAGCACATCAACCGCCTCGTGGCGATCCGCGCGCAGGCCGACATCATGGGCTCGGACCTGCTGGCCATCGCGCGCACCGACGCCGAGGCCGCGACGCTCATCACGACGACCATCGACCCGCGCGACCACGCCTTCATCCTGGGCGCCACCAACCCCAACGTGCAGCCGCTCAACGACCTCATGATCGCCGCCGAGCAGGCCGGCAAGACGGGCGCCGAGCTCCAGGCCATCGAGGACGGCTGGCTCGCGCAGGCCGGGCTCAAGCGCTTCGACGACGCCGTCGTCGACGCCATCCGCCAGGGCCCGCGGCCGGACAAGGAAGCGCTCGCGGCGCGCTACCTGCGCGAGGCCAGGGGCAAGAGCAACTCGGAGGCCCGGGCCGCGGCCCGCGCCATCCTCGGCGCCGACGTCCACTTCGACTGGGACGCGCCGCGGACGCGCGAGGGCTACTACCGCCTGCAGGGCGGGTGCGACTGCTCCGTCAACCGCGCCATCGCCTACGCCCCTTACTGCGACGCCATCTGGATGGAGAGCAAGCTGCCCGACTACAAGCAGGCCGAGGAGTTTGCCAAGGGCGTGCACGCCGTCTGGCCCGAGCAAAAGTGAGTCCCAAGAAAAATGATATCGATTTTGATAGAGAAGAACCCCCCCGTAATCGCTGACCTGAGAAAAAAAATAGGCTGGCCTACAACCTCTCGCCCTCGTTCAACTGGAAGACGGCCATGCCGCGCGACGAGCAGGAGACGTACATCCGGCGCCTGGCCGGGCTGGGCTACTGCTGGCAGTTCATCACGCTGGCGGGCCTGCACACGACGGCGCTCATCAGCGACCAGTTCGCGCGCAACTACGCGGCCGTGGGCATGCGCGCCTACGGCGAGCTCGTGCAGGAGCCCGAGATGGAGCAGGGCGTCGACGTCGTCAAGCACCAGAAGTGGAGCGGCGCCGCCTACGTCGACGAGATGCTCAAGATGGTCACCGGCGGCGTCAGCAGCACGGCGGCCATGGGCAAGGGTGTCACCGAGGACCAGTTCCACTGATTTTACTTTTTTTGTCGCTATAATGTAGGACCGTGGAGATTTGTGTGTCTTTTTTGCTTTTCGGCTTTCTGTTTTTGCCTCGTTTGGTTGGATATGAAGAGAAGAAAAAGTTGCATATGTCTTCTTTTTTTCTGGGATCTTTTCCTACATATATACACCGGTATTCATGTTAGGTATCTACCATCTAGATTTGGAGCTCTAGTCTTCAGCATGGCTCGGTCGTGTGGACATCTTTCTTTGAGTCATTTTGAAGATCATATCATGAGGAGGAAAAGGTAGATCTCGCTACCAGTAGTGATCAATGAATGCATCAAGTAATCGGACGAATCATTATCAAGTTCTGTACCAATATCAACTTCATCAAAAATGTGACTGAGATACATTAGTTCTTTCTTTTGCTTACATCACGAAAGTCATATCAATATCAATGGTAGTGACGGTGTTGCCTGCCACAGATTCGGGAACCAACAGAGCTCACACGAGCAGGTTCCTTGGACTCGGTCGAGACTGCCTCCGCTCGCCCAGAACAAAGAGGCGTGATCGACCAGCGTGGAGAACTACCGCACTACCCTACCCCACCCCAGCACGCCCGGCCAATTAAACGCGTCCTGGAACAAGCTCGAGAGGGCGAATCGCGTCACACGCCAGGGAAGCTTCCCTCAGATCACCTCTTCTTTCCCCATCTAGGGTCAATCGAGCCACCTCTCCCCGTCCCTTCTTTCTATTCGATTGATCAAGCTCTTCTATCCCCCAATCATCCATTGAACTGCATCTGGTCGTGCGATCAACAACATCATCACCACCAGGACCAGCTTTGACAGTGTTCATCGATACCTGTACTTCTTTTGGTCCAGTCTCGCATTCAATCGCATCAATCGTACAACATACGTCACATCATCCACTTATCTACCAAACAGCCATCTCATCCGCACCTCGCAATGGCCGACCAAAACCCGCCCGCGGAGCAGCAGGCCGCTCCTGCTGCTGCCGCGCCAGTCGCCCTCCCTACTGTTGCCGAGACTCTGGCTCCCATCGGTGGCACTGAGACGCCCGGCGGCCCCGCCACCGGCACCGTGACCCCTGCCTTGTCAGAGCTGCCACTGGAGCAGGTCGAATACAGCCTGCGCGTCTCCCTCGCCGAGCGGTCTGCTAAGGGCCAGGCCCTCTACGGCCACAAGAACTACGAGGAGGCCAGCGAGGTCTTTGCGCAGGCTGCCGAGATGCAGGCCGAGATGAACGGCGAGATGGACCCGCGCAACGCCGAGATCCTCTTCTACTATGGTCGCTCCCTGTTCAAGGTCGGCCAGAGCAAGAGCGACGTCCTCGGAGGCAAGGCGCCTGAGGCTAAGAGCAACAAGGCTGCCCCTAAGAAGGCCAAGTCTGCCGCGCCGAAGCAGGAGGAGGTCAAGACCGAGGAGACGAAGCAGGAGCCCACCGAGGCGGAGAAGGTCACCGAGGCCGGCGTTGCTATCGTCGCCGCGGAGGCAACCAAGGGCGCCAAGGAGGAGGGCGTCGAGGGCAAGAAGCCTCTCTTCCAGTTTACGGGCGATGAGAACTTTGATGATTCGGATGAGGACGAGGTCAGTACCTCGCCTAGAATCGTCTATCTCACTCGCTTGCTAACAATTGGACACAGGAGGCCGAAGGTGAAGGCGAGGATGATGACGAAGAGGACGACGACCTGGCCGTCGCGTTCGAGATCCTCGACCTTGCTCGAGTGCTGTTCCTGAAGCGTCTTGAGCAGGCTGAGGCCCAGGCCGCAGAGACCAAGCCTGCAGACACCGAGAACCCAGAAGGCGAGGGGGGTGAGAAGCTCTCGATACATCATATCAAGGAACGTCTTGCCGACACGCACGATCTGCTTGCCGAGATTCAGCTGGAGAACGAAAGGTTTGTGCTGTCCAGACTGTCTGAACACGGCTGTTCACTTTTCCACATGCTAACGATTATGTCATATAGATATCCTAATGCGATCACCGACTCCCGCGCGTCCTTGAAATACAAGAAGGAGCTGTATCCCGAGGATTCAGAGATCATTGCCGAGGCACACTTCAAGCTGTCACTAGCTCTTGAGTTTGCTGCGATCACCACATCCGAAGAGGACAAGCAAAAGGGCGAGCAGCAGGTTGATCAAGCGCTGCGTGACGAAGCTGCCACCGAGCTGGAGGCTGCCATTGCAAGCACCAGGCTCAAGCTTCAGAACAAGGAGGTCGAGTTGGCGACGCTGCATTCCCCCGAGGATAACGAATTGACCCGCAAGCAAATTGCGGAGGTCAAGGAGATTATCGCCGACATGGAGCAACGAGTAAGTTCATAGTTTATTGACGCAAGTCCATCACTTGAAGCTAATGCCTGAGATCAATAGCTCGCCGACCTGCGCAAACCGCCAGTCGATGTCAACGCTGTTCTCGGCAACGAGGTTGGCAACGCCATGGGCGGTATTCTCGGAGCTACCCTCGGGGAGTCCGCGGCCGAGACAGAGGCTCGTGTCGAGGAGGCCAAGAAGACAGCCACCGATTTGACAGGCCTGGTCCGCAAGAAGAACAAGGACGATGCTCCCAAGCCCGCCCCTGCCACCCAGGAGCCGGCCAAGACCAACGGGTCCGAAACCAACGGCAAGCGGAAAGCCGAGGATTCGGCCGATGGCGGCGATGACCAGGCGAAGAAGGCCAAGGTCGATGTCGCGGCATAGGAGGTCGAGCCCAATGTGGACGACTTGACACTGGCGTATTCGATGTACTGGGATGAACTTTGCCAGTGGGAGGACGCATTGTGGACTTGGTATGTGGAGCTCTGCGGTATGCAAGCTCGGACGAAGGCCGTTGCTGTGGCACGCCGCCGTGGACTACGGCGTGACTCTTCATCTTCTGGGTCTTCTTCATTTTGAACAGGGAGGATGGATCGGACAAGGCATTGTACAATTATCATTCTCGAACACGAACATGGCTGATGAGGACGTGATCACACTCTTTTCTTCTGCGCGGGTCGGCTCGCTGGAATCAAGGTTCGGGACTGCGTTGGGAAGGGCAAAGGGCGTTTTCCTCAAGGAATGGACGGCGGGCTGTAAAAATAGTGAGAGTCCTTTGGTCTCTTTGATGCATTGCCATGCACAGAAAATGACATCTTGATTATTTCTTCTGGTTCAATGATGTGGACCACGTTTTGTGACACTTGTGGCATGTGAGATCGATATGGTTAACACCATGGGCACGTTTGAGTCAAAACTGTGGTTGCTTGCAGGGATAATCAGTTTTTCTTCCCAAGAGATTTCTATCCATCGTTCTTCTAAGTTCCTCAAAACGCCAGGGGTATCATAGCCGTCGCAAAAGAAGAATAATGTACCGAGTCCAACCACTCCCGCGTTGTCTACAATTCGTCCGTCTCATCATCTTCCGTATCCTCGTCCAGGCACATCACTGCCGGCTGCTTGCCTTTGTCAGAAAGGGGCGGCAGTTTGACATCGCTCTTCTTCGCCTCGAGCTCCGCCTCCTCCGCCCTGACGCTGACCGCAGGCTCGTCGGTGCCGTCCTCCGTGGCATCGTCGTCGAGCATGATGGCCGCGGTCTCGTCGACGGGCTCGGCCTTAACGGCGACCATCGTCTCCTCTTCCACTTTGACCACCATGCGACCCATAGCACCGCCATCGGCACGGGCGTTCTCAACCTCCACCTTTGCGTCTTCGATGCCCATCTGCTCGGCGGCATCAAGGACCTCCTTCTTGACCTTGACATCATCATCATTCTCGTCTTTCTTCTTGAGCACGACGAGCTGCTCGTCGCCGCCGCCCTCCTCCTCCCCCTTGACCACCGCCCCCGCGCCCGCGCCCTCGAGCTCGGCGAGGCGCGCCTCGCGCCGCTTGTAGAACAGGTCCAGGCAGTTGCGCCGCTGCTCCTGCGTCCAGCTCTCGACGACGAGCGCAAAGTCGGTCGCGCTGCCGAACCCGAACTCGCGCGCCATGGAGCAGAACTGGCGGCCCATGACGTCGCGGGGCGGGCGGTAGACGAGGTGCCGGTGGCCGCTCGGGGCGGGCACGCTGTTGGCCTGCGAGTCGGCGAACAGCGCGCTGTGCCTATGGTGGTGGCGGGCAGTAGGACCCGGCGTGCCTCCGTCTCCGCTGTTGGCTGCGGCGTCGTCGTCGTCATTATCGTATTCCTCTTCGTCTTCCTGGCCGGACCACTCGTCGTCCTCCACGAGCTCGGCGCGGCGCGAGAGCTGCGCCTCGACGCGGCTCGAGCCCACGACCTCCGAGTTCTCGTGCGTGTACTCGACGCCCACGGACGCGAGGATGGCCTGCACCGCGTCGCTCCGGGGCTTCTTGCTCGCCCTGCGGCGGTCGCTGAGCGCCTCGTCCTTGTTCTCGGCCGTCAGGAGCTCGGCCAGCTGGCTCAGGCCGCCGTCCTCGTCGCCGCCGGCGCCACCGACCCCGTCGTAGCCTTCCTTCTTGACGACGCCGAACTCGTCGTCCTCGTCCCTGGCCGCCTTCTCCAGGTCGATGTCGGACAGCGCGACGCCGGCCTTGGCCTCGGCGATGTTGGTCTTGTTGACGATGTCGCGCAGGACGACCTGGTCCGGGCGGTAGGTGAGCAGGTTGTCGAGGCCAAAGATCTCGCCCTTGCGCCCGCTGTCCTGCTGCACGCCCTTGAAGTAGCGGCGCTCGCTCGAGGCGTTGTAGCCGATGTTGGCCTGCTGCTGCTTGTAGATCTGGCGCGCGTAGACGATCTCCTCGATGGTGCCCGCCGAGATGAGGCGGAAGACGTCGACGTCGCGCACCTGGCCGATGCGGTAGGCCCGGTCCTGCGCCTGCAGGTCGTACGCCGGGTTCCAGTGCGGGTCGACGATGACGACCTTGTTCGCCGAGGTGATGTTCAGGCCGACGCCTCCGGCCTTGGTGGAGATCAGGAAGACGAACTGGCTCGGGTCCGAGTTGAAGTTGTCGACTACCTGCTGCCGCTCCTCGTAGCTCAGGGAGCCGTCGAGGTAGCTCACGTTGTAGCTCGTGCTGCTGAAGAGGTTCTTCAATATGTTCAAGAGCCGCACGCTGTGAGAGAACACAAGGACCTTGTCTTTGTTGGCGTACCAAAACTGGAGTAGTTTCTTCAAGACCTTCCATTTGCCGCAGAAATCGGGGGTGGCAAGGTTGAGCATGGAGTCTCGATGCCTGTAGAGGTCGTCCCACTTGTCAGGCAGACAAGTCTGCAATGTTTCGAGCTCGCTCTCCGTCTTCTCGCTAGAGTGGCTCGAGGTCGGGAGCAGCAGCATGAGGTGGTTCGAGAGCTTTTGCAAGGTGAACATTGCTGGAAAGACATATGCCTGCCACGTCTTCCCGTTAGGTAAGAACCTATGGCAGCACCATCCTCTCTTCTTGCCAGAGCCGCAGTGACAGGGCTCCGGTGCGCTTCGTATCATTTCGATTATGTCGCTCTCCAGAAAATTCTCGTACGCTTCCCGCTGGATGTTAGTTAGCGGACAAAAGACGACTTTGTCACTCTTCTTTGGGAGCTGATGAGCAATGAGGGTCTTCATGCGGCGCAAGAAGAATTCCGGCAAGAGGTTGTGTACCAACTTCTTGGCTGTCTTGCGTGCCCTGCTCAGCTCGTACAATGTGGCCTCGTGGGACTGTCCGATTGTGAGCGGCGTGCTGATGTGCTTGCGCCACTCGCTCAAAGTCCCAAAGTGCCCAGGGTTGGTCCAGTTCAGCAGCGTCCATAGCTCTTCGTACTTATTCTGGATGGCTGTGCCCGTCAGGCCGATCCGACACAATGCGTTGACCTCGTTCATGGCCTGCGTCACGCCCGACTTGCGATCCTTGAGCGAATGGCACTCATCAGCGACCACTGCATCCCACTGGACTGTATTGATGTTCTCCCTGTGGTTTTTGTATGTCGTGTAGGTAGTGATCATGATCTCGATGCGACCAGCCTTGGCAGCTTGCAGAACAGAGTCCTTGTCGGGGCCGTGGTAGAGATCAGTTATCCAATATCCCCATCTGTCCAACTCGTTCTTCCAGTTCTGGATCAAGGATCCGGGGCAGACGATGAGGACGCGCGGATACCAATAGTCCTCGCCGGCTCTCCTCATCTTGCGCATGCGCTTCTTATCGCGTACATCGCCAGTCTTACCGAAGGCAGCAGTGAGGAATGCGGCTACCTGCACCGTCTTTCCGAGGCCCATGTCGTCGCCGAGGATGCCGCCTTTCTGGTACACGAACAGCTGGTGCAGGAACTTGACGCCCACGATCTGGTAGTCTCGGAGGTACTGCGCGATAGATGCCGGTATGAGACCCGCCGAGTACTCGAGTTCAACGTCCTTGTATTCGCGCGACGGCTTTATACCGCTTGCCTCGTCAAAGACGGGTTTCTCCTCCAAAGTTGCGAGCTGCTCGTCGTCGGAGAACTCTATCTCGGAGTAATCAGGCGGAAGGCGCAGACCAGCTTCCTTGAGGACCTTGCGATTCTCCTCAAAGTCTTTCCGCCTCCGCCGAATGTAATCTGGTAGGTCGACAGCATCATACGGGTCCTCTTGCTTGACGGATGTGCTAGCCTGAGCTCGCGACGATCCTGCCCCGTCTCTAGTATTGGCTGACCGGGTAGCCTTGTTGTCTGCCTTCTTTCTTCCTCTCGCTGCCGTCTTGCGCTTGCGGTTCTTGAGGAGGCGCTCATACTCGCCGTCCGAGTCGTCAGTCCACTCCACCTTCTCGGCGGCCAGTTCGTTGCTGAGCTTCCGCTTCTTGTACGCGGGTGCGGTCATATCGGCAGGGCGCTGGGGCTCAGGAGTTCCCGATGTCGCATCGTCATCCGAGATCTCGATAGCCCCTCCAGCAGCGTGGCGTGAGGCCGCCATCTCGGCGGGCAGCTCTGGTTTTGGTCGCAGTGGAGGTATGACGCGTTTGTGTGAGGTTGTCGCGATGGAGGGGCTCTAATTGATTTACACCCAGACGCGCTGTGGTGGCGTCTGCACGTGCGAGCGCACCGCTGAAATACAGCAGTGGGGCTGATGCTGCAGGGAGTTCAGGGCACCTCGGAGCAGTCGGACTGAAGCGTGTTTAGCGGGTCTTTGACCCCAATCGGCTGGGGGGATGGGGAGACGGTTCTGACGTCCCACATGCAATGCGAGGCCGGGATCGGGAATGTTGGTTGTTTCTGGTGTCAGCTAATAGCCTACTAACGACATTACTCTTAGTGACCAGTCTCCAAAGCCACCAGAACAACCAATCTGGGGGCAAAACTGCACGACACCGACAACAGCTGGCGGAGTTTGTGTTAGTGGCGCTAGGCGTTTCCCCAGATGGTTGTTTAGCGGATGGGATTCCGCACTGGGGGTGTGGGGCTACCTCGGTCCAGGGATATCAGGTGGTTGAATCAAGGTGCTGGTGGCGATGAGCTGTGAAGATATTCTGTTCATGCGGGGGCGTCCTCTCCGAGAGGTTTTATACCCGATATTCGACTTGTTTTCATTCTGCCATTTGTCCTCCAGTCATTCTTCAGGACCCTTGTCTACTTGTTTGGTGATTCATCCTTCCCCTTGGCCAGACATTCATTCACCGGCTACGTCATTTCACCATGGAGGCCGCAAGCTCCAACAAGGGTTTCTTCCAGAAACAGCCTGTGCTGAAGAATCAGGTCTATGATGATGTCAGCTATCAAAGAGTCTTGAAATGTATGTTCAGTGAATGGCACTGCTTCGCCAGCAATCTCATCGATGGTGACCACAATGAACTAATATCACCAAGTGTTTGTGCCCGATGAGTTGCAAAAGAAACTGGAATCCGAGATCACCCAGCTCGGAGAGGACGTGATAGCTCCACAGATATTCAACTATATCACAGATGCCGAAAGAAACCTCCCTTATCTGCGTGGCAGTGGTAGGGATGCTTTTGGCAGGCCAGCCAGCGAGCTTGTCACCAGCGAAGGTTGGCGAAAGCTACAGGAGTTTGGATTCGAGCACGGGTAAGTCCGTTCGTTTCCTGATCAAGCAGTTAGCGAAGATGACTGAAACCTTGCAGAATTGTTGCCTACAACTACGATACTGATCATGCCCAGTACTCAAGACTGGTGCAAATGCTGAGGTGCGTAGGGCTGATACCCGCTTCTCACCTACACCACACTGACAAGAACCACAGGCTCCATCTCTGGGAGGCATCATGTGCGAGTACTACCTGCCCAGGAGCGATGCAAGATGGCGCTACCCGCCTCCTTCAGCGACATCTTCACAAGGGCTCTACCCTCGACCCAACTCTCCGTAGAGTCCTCCAGAACGCCTATGATCGCCTCACATCCCGCGATCCCACTCGCGCCTGGACCAGCGGACAGTGGATGACCGAACGACCCGGGGGTAGCGATGTCTCCCAGACCGAGACAGTCGCCACCCACGCGCCCTTCCCGGCTGGTCAACCCGCGCCTCTCGCATCGCCAGAGGAGGGCATCCCTCTTGGGCCGTGGGAGATCAACGGCTTCAAATGGTTCTCGTCGGCCACCGATTCCGGTATGACCATCCTCCTCGCACGAACCGCCAAGGGTGGTCTCAGCGCCTTCTACGCGCCGATGCGACGGCACAACCCTTCTCTCGTATCCTTGACGGGCGCTAGGACAGGAGGGCAAGAGCTCAACGGCGTGCGCATCCAGCGTCTCAAGGACAAGTCCGGCACCAAGGCTGTCCCGACCGCCGAGCTCGAGCTTTCCGGCATGCGGGGCTGGCTCATCGGCGAGGAAGGCAAGGGAATCCAAGAGATCAGCACCATTCTCACGGTCACACGCGTCCACTGCTCCGTCCACGTCATGGGTAATATCGGGCGCGGTCTGGCCATCGCCAAGGCGTACGCACTCGTCCGTGAAGTCGGCTCTGGTAAGGGCAAGCGGCTGCGTCTCTGCCGGAGCCCGCTCCATATGCGCACCCTTGCCGACATGACGCTCGACTACCATGCCATGATGCTCTTAACCTTCTTCACCATCTCCGTCATGGGACTGGATGAGAGTGCCAGCATCGGAAGAGAACGCGCCACTCCGGCTCGCTCGGGTCTGACACCACCGCCGGAGCTAGTAAGCCCACTACTGCGTGTCCTGAGTTCCCTGCACAAGGGATATTGCTGTAAGCAAGGTATCCCCTTGCTGTATGCGTGCATGGAAAGCCTCGGTGGAGTGGGGTATTTGAACAATTCGGAAACAGAGCCATTGAACGTTGCCAGGTTGTTCCGCGATGCGTCAGTCAATGCTACGTGGGAAGGTACGACGGATGTGCTGAGCACAGATACCCTGCGGGCCTTGAAACACCCTGCCTCTGGGAAGAAGTGCATCATGGCCCTGGACTGGCTCGTTTCCAGTGCGCTGGCGAAGAACGACGGCGCAGCTGAGAGAGAGATACGGCGGTCCTGGGCTGAAGTGAGAGAGAGGCTTCAGACTGAGACTCAGGATGACCTGTTGCCGGAAGCAAGAGATATTATGTTCAAGATTGCGGAGGTTTTGATGGCGACGCTGCTGATCGTGGATGCGCGGAGCGACGGTAGCAAGGAACTCGGTATCATGTGTCGGCGCTTTATGGTGAAGAAGGGCTTGACGGCAGGCAAGTACGCCGCACTTAAGGGCGAAGACGGCTTGGATCTGGATACCAGGATCGTGTATGGTCCGAGAGGACTTCCCAAGGAAAGTGATGTGAAGTTGTAGATAGGTGGGTGTATTTGAGGGCTCGATTCTGGCCATAGCATTCCCGAGGAGAATGCCAGATCTTTCGAATTCAATTACTAGGTCGACACAAACTACATGTCGAAATGACAAGGGACATGGCTCCGATATGTCAGTAAATGACTGCTAATTGTGCTTCAATTTTTGTCACTGTCGCCACGATGGGCCACGGTGAGCTGTTTTAGACAAGCGCCACAAATACTCGACGAGATGTGAAGCAGTCGAACTGGGAGAGGAGCCAACAACTCTGCTTCTGTGCCATCATGCCAGGACACGATGTTTTAGAGCAAAGCTAAGTTAACCAGCTTTGAGACCAACCCAAGAGTTATGCGTCACAAAGTATAATTGTTTGATTCTCTCGGCTTGTTGAATGACCGGCCCGCCCAGCTTGTTGAAGTTTCGAGATCTGTAACACGACTCCCAGCACCATATGTCCGGGCAACCTTTAACTTACGCGCTGGCACTCTCGTTTTGAATAGCTCGTCTACTTCTTTCTATTCTTCAAGTGGCTGATCCTTCTTCTCGGGCAGCACAACAAAGACAAAGACGGTGGCATGAGGACAGTTGTGCAATCTCTTTAGACGTGGACTTAGGGCCCACCCAAACAATAAAGACGAGCAAACAGATTGCCCAGACCCCAGCGCTCGACAGCAAAGGTAACAACCTAGGAATTCATGTATTAGTGGGAAGTACTTTCAGAAACACAACAAGACTAGTTAAGGAGCCTTAGAGCGGAGATAATGGACTAGTTACACCGATCTGTTTAATGGCGGAGCATTAAATGAGGCTGGACCTGCTTGGCTGCATTCACCTCGTGCGCGAGGAAGATGACGGCTAGTAAAAGGATCTCTGAGAAGAACAAAGATAAATTCTAGCGCTGACAATGCTTTGATGCAGCCACAGACTCAGGGTAAGTTTAAATGTACCGTAAGATTCAAACTTTGAGTTGATTGGTGTTTACCACTCACAAAGAATTAAAGCAAGAATAAAGCATGGGCAGGGATCTCAAGACCAATATTAAGGACTGGTAAGTCACACTAGTTGTGGCTGAACTATTTTACATTGGAGAACCGTGTTGTGATAGACTCTTGGACAGTATGGCAGTCATGCTTGTCAGTATGTGGTCAGATGACGCAGTTAACGAGACACAATAATCATAACATCTATACTCCAGAGACACCATAACAGTTCCCACTATTATCGAGGATTAATCAAATACTCTCCCAATCGCAAGGCCTTCAAGTCTGACTGGTGCTGATTACCCGTCTCCGATGGTCCGAAGCCCGGATTCTGTCCTGAACTTTTTGACCTCTCGACCATGCTTCAGCCACGTCCTTACAGGCAAGTTTTCGAGGCCGGCTGCGAGAGATATCTAATTAATACCGGAAACAACCAGATTGTGGGAATTGACGGTTCTTGGCGATAAGGACTGCAAGTCCTCGAGGCTACCACCGAGAGCATGCCTCCGTGGATATAAGGAGGAACTGGATCTTCTTTCCTTTCATAGTGAGTACCTCATTCCGCATCTGAATAATAAATATGTTTGCCCAATTTCTTGTATGCTCGACTCGATTTGGTCATCATGTTTCTCATTGGTGCTAAGACTAGGTGTACCGAGGGTTGTGTTCATTGTGTCTTTTCATTACGATATTAGGACAAAACATAACTTTCAACCGATACCAGTTAACCTAAGGATCAAAGAAATCTAACCATCTGAATAGAAACCTTTTTTTCCCGAAGACCCTGAGGATACATATATAAATGCTCGTGGATAATCTTTTCTGTCTAGACTCGATTTCTATTTCAGAACTCTCCTGCTTTTATGTCTCCCCATACCACCGCGCACCAAACATACAAAACGACACAATCTTCGCAATCCCTACCATCTCCATCACCTGCAGCCATGACAAGTGCTAATGAACTCCCGTACGAGTTGATCGTCATGATCCTCAACTATTTCGACTATTTGGCCGATCTCGACACCTTCATCTCCTTGGCCAAGACGGCTCGCCGCTATCGCACCATCATGCATGAACTTCTTTACGTTGGGCGGAAGCTAAGCCCCGAAGAACCAAGAGTGTCATACGCTCTGGATGCGTTGTTGTGGGCGGCGAAGAATGGCGGGATGGAGACACTAGAGATGGTCCTCCAGACAGCAAACGAACTCGATCTAGACGCCCCTCTCCATGGCATCAGAAGGCGCCGCTCCCCACAGAGTGGTACCACGAACGAAGAAGAGCCCGAGAAGATGCCCGCACTGCACTGGGCTGCGAGATTCGGCCATAGAAATGTTATACTCAGACTGCTCGAAGAGGGTGCGAACGTCAACGCCTTGGCGCCAGCCAGCCTCGCGCTCGACGAATGGGTTGGATTTGCCAGAACTGATGCATTCCTCTTGGAGGAAATTCTTGACGAGGAAAAATCTCTATCCTGGAGGCCACTGTACGAAGCAATCCGATCCGGTGAATCGGAGACTGTCGAACTCCTTCTGGACAAGGGAGCAAGCCGCTTCGTATCCAATGGCAAGGACGGAGCTCGTCCAGATATTAGGGATTTGGAAGCGGCAGCAGCACACCATCAACTTGAGATCATCAAGATTCTCGTCCGCAAGTTTGGTCAGCGCAGTCTCAATGAGCACCAGTCAGGGCCCATCCGCCATGTGATCCTGCAGCTTGCACTGATGGGCCCTGACTCGAGGAAAAAGGATTCGAATCTCCTGGAATGCCTGGCTGAGCTGATCAAGCAAGGAGCCGACATTAATGCCCGAGGTGTGTACAATTTGACACCGCTCGGTCTGGCCTGCTTCAGAGGCCAAGTCTCTGCTGCTCTTCTCTTGTTACAGTTGGGCTCGACTCTCACCATGAGAAGTGTGACATTCTTCCACGGTATGGATTACTTGCACCTTTGTGCACTGGGTTTCATGAAAGAGGCTCGGACCTCGGAAGAGGCTCGAGCAGAATACTCCGAGTTGATCTCGAAGCTCATTGCCAAACGCGCAAACGTGCATGCTCGACTGGATATTTTTCCTGGTAGACGGCCTGCTAATGGCCCCCCGCATCTTGACGAGGGGTACACGCCGTTACATCTAGCAATCTATAAAGAGGACTGGCAGCTGGCCCGGGAGCTTCTCAAGCATGGTGCAAAGTTTGTCTCCAAGCAGAATATCCCCGCCCACGCGTTGCCCGACATTTTCAAAGAGGGAGCCATTCGGGACTAGCGATGATCAAGGGTTCATCGCAATGGATGGACATCTAAGATAGAGGAGAGATCATTTCGTTATTGCTTACGATCGGAGCAGTTATTATTCATGTGGACAGAAGTGGTCAGGGAAATCATAGACCATAGCGCTTATATGATCATCGGACATTGCTCATACATCATACGTACTTAGATACTGAAGAGATGCCATCCTTCATTCCTATGGTATCCAACAAGGAGAATGGGCGGCTCTTTGGCAAAGTCAAAGAGTTCACCTTCTACAAGCCCGATCTGGGCAAACTGCACAAGGCTGCTAAGAGAATCGACTACACCAAGCCCAGAAGGCTGTAGTTGCTGGTGTAGTCGATTCTCTTGGCAGCCTTGTGCAGTTTGTCCAGATCGGGCTTGTAGAAGGTGAACTCTTTGACTTTGCCAAAGAACCGCCCATTCTCCTTTTTGGATACCATAGGAATGAGGAAGGATGGCATCTCTTCAGTAGCCTTGGGTGTATGTGTTGGTATTATGTCGGGTTGTTTATAGACAAGAGGCTTAGGAGTCTTAATGCTTGAGAGTCTTGATGTAGATGAGTGTGAGAGACGGACTCGAGAGCAGTGGGAGGACAGACCATTTTATACACATTCAAAACGACCTCTCGGCAGTGGCCTTGAGGTATGTTGTCGTATCAGGGATCGCTAAGGGACCGTTCATTGTGACAATTTGGTTGCGTCTGTTGTTGAGTAGGTGCGGCGTTCTCTAAGGATAGCTTGTACGTCCGGCCTCACAAACTTGCGCGTACGGACGTCCGGACGAGTTGACTCATCGGCCACAGGCTGAACCATGGTCGAGAGGTCCAAAAGTCCGGGACCGATTTCGGGCCTTGGACCCACATTGGAGACGGTCGGCAGCTGTTCGGGCTCGAGGGCCTTTGCGGTTAGGGGACCGTGCTTGATCAATCTACAATAACAATTGTGTCCTTATTATTGGGAACTGTCATAGTGTCTCTGGAATATGGGTATTGTGTTCATTGTGTCTCTTTTAACTATGTCGTATCGACAGCGTAACTTGGCTTGTACCTAACAGGTACACCAAGAATCAACATAGATAGATAGATAGATACGTACTTAGATTGCACGAAACTTATAGCAATGAAACACAGACTCCGCTTAACTTGCGCAAAGGCAATATCCTCAGAGGAACGGAGTAGGCGGAGGCATATTTAGAATTTTTGAAAGAAAATGTTGAATGTCGATAGACCGCTCTGAGCGTGCAAATTCATGTTGTAAACTTTTTACTCACAAATTGGGAAATATTTACTCATAGCACAGCACACAGGGTAAGAATGACAGAAACAATACTATGGTGCTAGCTTCTTTTGGCAAACGCATCGAGTTCTCTAGTCTCGCCAAGTTCCCGTGCTGACATGTAGGGGATCGGCCCGCAGACAAGCAGAACGAGCCGCCTGCGGATGACGCCGCTACCGAGCCAGCCAGCCCCATGTTCGCGTGAGGCAAGGCTGCTTTTGTCATCGGGTGCATCAGCGCAACGCCAGATCCGGCAGTTACCGAGATCTGCCGCAGCAGAGTTCCCGAGTGGCGGCCCTTTTCCGCGAGACCAACGACGATCCTCACCGGCGTTGTGTAGCTTTGATTGGATGGGCAGGCTGCCAGCGGTGAAACACGACATGGCGGGCTTTCCGAGCCCATGCGGGGAGAGGCAGCTGAGGTGTTGGCACTAATGCAGTCAAGTCGACGTCAAAAGTTGACCGACCCGGTAAAAATTGCCGCAGCTGGGAAGGATCAAACCCAGGGCATTTGCCTGTCACGTCAAAGTCGATGATCGATGCTCATATTGACGGAGGAGGGTTGGGGACTCTCCTAGATCGCAAGCAGCACGATCTTTTCACCGTGTTCTACTCTGATACTGTGCCGACTTTGCATCGTGAACGCATGTTGCCTATTCAGTCATACACTCGGAACATCGGGTCGATGAGCAGGGCACCGCCAAGTGAATGCGGCTGCATTGTCGAAATGATTGTCTCACTCAAGGTGGCACCACCAACCTGTCAGTTTTTGACAGCTCGGCTCAGAAGCTTTCCGGCGACGATTGTTACTCAATGTAGAGAGGGAGCTAGACTAGCCTCGGTTCAGGACAAAGCCCACAATGCACAGGCTGACCGCCACGCATGTCAGTTTGTTGCTTTGTGATAGCTGAGACGAGAACAACGAGGGAGTTTGCTGACAATCGCAATGGCGTTTGACCCTCCTCAGCAGAGAATCCGCGAAGAATCCAACGAACAGACTCAACGTCCAGTACTAGGGTTGAGATATCCTGGTCAACCATTGGCGTCTACTCCAAGTCAAGCTGTCTGCTCCTGCATCTTTCAGCTGCGAACATGCCGCCTCCACTCACGAGCTTCCGTCAAGATCATCATTGATACATCAGTGGCATGACCATGGCGAGGATGATACGAGATGGAAAAGATGGTCGTAGCCAAACGACATGTTCCCTCAACGACTATAAAGGAAGGATGGATTCCCAGGTCGAGAGAGAATAGAGAAACCTTCATCTCATCACCAACAACCCTCAGAACTCAGGAAAGCACTTCTCATCACACTTCATTACCAACTCCCTCACGCTACTCCAAGACTAAGCCAAAATGCCCAGCCTTCTCACAAGCGATCTCGCCGCCGTCTCGGCCGGCTCCCACCTCTATCTCTATTACCAGAACGGCCACGAGCTCCGAGAGACCCAGTCGACCGACGGCAAGGCCTGGACTGCCAACTCGACCGCCATTGCTGCTGATCTCGACGAGAATGGCTCGGCCATCACCGCCTATTTCGTCAAGTATGACGGAGGCTATGGCGGCAAATCCACCGCACGTTTTGTCCCTATCTCATAGCGAGACATCTTGGCTGACAGATTCTCGCTCGCAGGTCCATGTCATCTGGATCAACAAAGACCTCAAGCTCTCAGAGAAGGTCAGGATTGAGGGAGAGACCACTTGGACGTCCATCGCTTTCCCCACCGAGTTCAAGCCCACGGCGACTTCGAGGCTTGGCAGTGGTGTGTGCCACGATAACCACGATGACCAATCCCACCAGTGGGTTCACTTTGTCGAGTTAGTAGTCTCAACCCGCTCGTTGTCTTTGGTACGGTGCTGACGAGCGGTAAAAGGGAATCCGACGGCAAGTTCCGGATCGCTGAGCTCAGGCGTGGCGCCAAGGCCAGCCCGGAATTTGTCTACCGCAAGCCCCTGAGGGAGAATCCCGCTGACGCCCTTCCGGGCACTGCCATCGCCGAGTACCTCAGCGACTTGACCACCCATCTCTTCTTCCAGGATCACGCCATGGACCTTCTTGAGTACGACGGCAAATACGAGAAGTGGAACGGTGAGCTTCCTCTTTAGCTGCCGTGCTAAACATGACAACGTAGACCAACACTGACACTTGACCCCTGTTACCAGACAAGCATACCCGCCTCGAAGGCAAGAAAGTCTCCCACAGCACCCCTCTCGCGGCTTGTGACTCGGGCAAGTCCGACGAGCCGTACGTCTTCTACGTCTCGCCCCCCTCGGGTAATACGGGCCTGGCGATTCAGCAGTGGCAGGTGAACCAGGAGCCTAAGCGGGTCGACGACTACGCCCCAGGCAGCAAGCTCGGGGCGACCGGCCTGTCTGGCAAGGTGTACTTGTTCTTCAAGAAGGCTACCACTTCGCAGACTATCACGGTCAAGGAGTACAGCGGTGGCAACTGGTCTCCTGCTACCAAGGTTGTCTAAGCACAGAGCACTCTTTCAGAGGTATGGTGGATGCAACAAATTTGAGGGTTTCGATCTTTATATACAAATTGTCACTCGTTTACATAACATTGCGGAATTGATTGGTCACTCTAATTTGACCATTTCGATGGATATATGACCCTTAAGCTGTGCCAAATCCGTCGTAAGACTTGAGGTTCCGTATTTTTCAATATGTTGTGCCCGAAGCTGGACCTCTTATGCTCGGAAGGCAACAGTCTCCGGAGCTGGAGTCGGCATAGGTGGGGGACCGCAGTTTGCACACATGGAGCTAGCAACGGCGGAGATGGAGAGCGCCACCTCACCTCCACACTTGGAGATCAGGCAAGGTGTAACCTGCGGTGCGAATTGCGAAGCACTCTTGCATTGGCAAGCGAAGTCGGTAGGGCTAGTACAGCCAATGGCAGAGGCGGCCGAGGCAATGCAGTTTTGCTGCTTGGGATTAGCCCGATTCTCTTGTAGAATGCTTCCAAGAAGCCAACATACCGCACAGGTCGGGATGGGAGGCGGCTCAGAGGTGTTGCACTGGGCCGTGGCAACAGCCGCGGAGAGGGCGGCAACAAAAAGGGTGGTGAGCTGCATGATGGTGTATTGCAAAAAGATAACCGTGTGGGTGTGAGAGAATGGAATAGCGCCCTGTTGTGATCGAGTGTGTGAAGACAAATGCCCGAACACTGCTTTTATACACGAACAGCTAGCGGTTCAACAAGAGCTAAATGTGGTACCGGAAACGGGATCAAAGGAATGCTCATGATTAAGTGCAAGCTTGTTCACGTAATGTTTAATTCCGGACTGTGATGTTGAGTCCACTCACCTTGATGACTACCGTGTATGGAAACACAAGGCACGACGGCTACGCAAAGATCGACGAGGCAGCGGGGTACCATTTTTGAACCTGCGTAAGAAACAATTTCAAATAGAGTATACTGATTTTAAAATAGAAACAAAGATCGACCATCGAGCATGTCGCACAGGTGCTGCCAAAGCTCTGACCCGGTTAAGCAGACCGGACGTCCCCAATCGCAATTACGGCCTATATAAGCAGCAGTTCCTGCATGCGGCTATGCCGGCTATGATACCCCTTCGATGCTATGAGACAATGCATTCGATCAACGAGGCCCATATAGTAAGTCCTGAGATAATGGCAGTTCAGATTGTGAGCATATCATCTGTACAACACAGTCCGTGTCGGTACCGAGCCGATGGCCGACTTATGTACGAAATATCCCGATGTTTATATTCCCATGCAGTATTTAGCCGGCACAGTAAAAATCAACTTGGTATGACGCATTCGAACTCTGAGCTATCCAAAGAACATATCGTGAAACGCTGCAACAAAGAGTCTGTAGAGGAAGATCACGAGGAAAAGAAGAAATTCAAACAGAGGCCCTACTTCCAATTCACGAGAGCGGTCTCGCCTTCTTCAACTTTGGCATAGACGAGACTATCTTTCCAGAGAGTCTCCAGATTCTTCTCGCTCTGAGCCTCCTTGCTAACGGGCCACGGCTCCGTGCCGTTCACAAACACATCCTTGGGGTGCTCTCCGAGGGTCTCGGTGTCAAACGCCAACCGCAGCGCGTCACTGGCAGACTTGGAGGTGGTGCGAAGAAAGCCGTTGGTCTGAGTCATGTCGCTGATGGGCGCAAAGAGAGGCATGATGACCTTCATTGCAATGACCCTGATCAAGAAGCCCTCACGACGGCAGATGTCGGTAGGCATCGCACCGGGGTCAAGACCCAGAACGCCGATCTTTGACAGGACTGGGTCCGCGTTGAGCCGTTTCTGAAGTTCACGCCTGTGTTTCTGATGAGTACATAGGCAGAGCTGAGTTTTTGCTGGAGTTGGGCGACTGACATGAACATTACTTCCAGTAGGTGAGCAGCTCCATATCTCCGCTGGCCTGACTTGGACGAGGGATCATCCGCAGGCGTGCTCCAAGTACCCTTGGCCAGGGCCTCAGTCGTGGTGTAGAGGGTCTGCCATTTCTCTTCTTTGTAGATACCAGTGCCGTCCATTCTTTTATCAGTGGTGCTGCAGCAGAGTCAATATATGGCCAGTCCCAAGGCCGCGGCGTCGCGTCAAGTTGGAAAGGAGAAAGGCCTACTCATGATTCATGCCACTGACAATCACGATCCTGCCATTTTCCTTGTCTAAGCTCTGCAGCAGGAGTAGCACGAGAAGAAAGTGCGACAGATAGTTGACCTGGAACGTCATGTCGTAGCCATCATCAGTAAAAGTCTGTGTCTCGAGCTCTTGCCAGCCGGCCGAGAGGATCAGGGCCCGGATAGGCGGCAGAGAACCGTTGGCAACCCGAGTGTTGATCGTTTTGGCACCTGCACGGACAGACGCAAGACTGGACAGATCGATCGACACGACATCATGGTTGAAGTTGGGCTTGGCCTTTGCGAGAATGCCGTTCAGGGTCGTAGCCGTCTGGGAATTACGCACGATGAACACGCCGTGGTGCTCGGAAAGCTCGGTCGATTGCGCGATCTGCTTGGAGATGGCTGAGCCCAAGCCACCATTGGCTCCAGTCACCACGATTGTCCCCTTGGCTGGCGACATGTTTACTGTTTGTTCGGGAACACACCAAAGATCGTGTGCGCGCAGCGACGAGCAGCTTACGAGATGAACCGACGCAAGGCTTTAGGAGAACAGTCCAAAACCGTCCATTTGCGATGACGTCCCCTTTGAGGAATGCGAGAGTCTCGGAGCAAGATGTGGAGAAAGGGAATGGCAGGATCACCAGAGGGCTTAGCGCTGACGGGCCAGCCCTGCACCTCTCCAGCTCATTGGCCACTGACATGGGAGCATTGTCGACAAATCAGAATCGTATAGCAGGTAAGTTTCAGGATTTGATCATCACTGTCCAGGTGAGGAAAGGAATATGGCTATTGCAAGGAATACCAAGTGTAGAGCCTCCTGAACCGAATCGCAATCTCGTGATTTCAACCTCGAATGTATAGAGGGCGGGATCTCATGCTTGTGATGGCAGAGTGCACAGTAGCAACTTGGGCTACCAGCCGATGCAGAAAGGTAAGCATGCTCTTCAAGGCCGCCCAGTTGGTCGTCCTGGTAAGCTTACTTGGCTAGATCCGAGACCCTGGCGATGCTTGACAACTCTTTATGCTGCACAACCCCTGTTTCACCCAGGGAATTCTGTCCTCATCCCCCGCGACGGTGCCCCCTACTCCAGTCTCATGCAGCCGACTAGCCTGACCAGGAAGCGTGAGATGCATATGTGACGTCGACTTTCGAATATCATCTCAGAGCGGTGTGACAATTACGTACCTCACACAACACATGATCTATTTCACAAACTCTATTACTATCGGGCAGACGCTTTCAAAATCTGGAGTTTTCAACTATTTTCATTTCTTCAAATGACCTTTGAGTCTTCCCTTATTCTCTATTGACCCAGTATCGCTCCGAAACAGACCATGGCTCGAGCACTCGCGAGGAATGCCCCGAACTCTCCTCCATATTTCGACTTTGGAGATATGCAGGAGAGTATCAGCTTCTCGTGGCAAAAGAATACTCTGGAAGGCAGTCTCATTGACGCGATCTGGTCTGAGGACATTGACAAGTGTCGCGAGCTACTCGACGCCAATCCTGTGCTTGTCAACCGTATGCTCCGTCATTATGCCATGGAGATTAAAAATACCATCCCCGGCATCGACTTAGAAAGTTTTGACCCGGAGAAAGATGTTCCGCTCACTCTAGTCTTGAAATTACCGCGGTACAAGGAGCCGGACCGTGATAAGCGGTATCTATCCGGTAGCTGCCTCGCATTGGCGAAGATGCTGGTAGATCGTGGCGCGAGCTTTGACAAAGCTGACCGGCGACTTCATCTCGACCCGCATATGGTTCTGGTGGGTGCATGCAGAGACTACGACAACCCTGAAGCTCTGCAGCTCCTTGTACGAGCAGGAGCAGACGTTGATTGTCGCGACCTTGATGATGATCAATTATATACCTTGCTGCAGCTGGCGGCCGATCGCGGTGCTGACAAGACAGTCAAATTCTTACTGGACAATGGTTGGTCGACGGACGAAACTGGGGAGTCTGACACTCTCCTTCACAAAGCGGCCCGTAGAGGTCGACTGCAGGTTGTCAAACTTCTACTGGATCGCGGCGCCAAATCCGACTTGGAAGCAGCTACAGAAGGCCAACTCGTAGATGGAACCCCTCTTGAGGTGGCATGTGGAGGCTGGAGATTCGATGAGGCGAAACGCCAGATTTTCGTGCCACGTGAAGAGTTGGGGGATGTGATCAAGCTCCTGATAGGCGCTGGCGCCAAAGTAACAAAGACTGCGGTCGAGCGAGCTGCTATGAGCGGGCTCGGCGCCGACGTCCTCCAGCTACTCGTCCAGCACGGCGGAGATATCCAACAACTTACTTCGTTCCGTACGGAACAGGCCAACGACCACTACCTTGGAGGCGACGATGTTACACTCATTCATCTCGCCGCGCTCAAGGACCCGCAGCCTCTCAGCATCGAAGCTCTTTTGGAAATGGGGTCCAACGTCGACGCTCGTGACAGCCATGGCCGCCAACCCTTACACTGGGCCACACTGCGCCAGGTTTTCCATCCTAAAAAAGAAAATGGTTATTTGAAAGAAGATGTTTCGACCTGGGCAAGCCCCAAGCTGGACAGCATGAGAGAAGCAGTCAAAGTGCTGTTGCAGCACAAGGCCGACCCAGACTGCCAGGACGCATTCGGTCGGACGCCACTGCATTACGCAGCACTGGCAAAAGCGCCCGCTGAACTCCTGGAACCGCTCCTTCGACACGGCGCTCGCCTGACAACGGCCGACCTGGACGGCCGCACGCCTCTCCACCTTCTCGCCCAGCCGATCTTCGTGAGACCACGTCCTGAAGAGGGCGAGAGACAAGACACAGAGCTATTATTCACCTTGCTAGAGCAGTTCGAATACAACATAGACCAGAAAGACAAGACGGGCGATACCCCGCTACACGTTGCCGCCGCCGGCGCCACCTGCTGGGCGGTGTCGCTGTTTCTCCGCCTCGGCGCGGATCCCAACGTCAAGGGCACGCGCGGGTGGACGGCGCTGCACCGCGCATCTGTGCCGCCGCCGCCGCAACATGACGAGCCGTTTGACTACGGTCCCAGGGCCCAGCAACAGCAGACAGAGGGCGACAAGATGGCTGCGAGGATGAAGGCTCTGCTGCTCGGCGCTGGCGCGGATCAAAAGGCGCGGGATAACGGGGGCCTAACTGCGGCTGACATCGAAGTCAAAGTGGCAGAGAGGTTGCGCAAGAAGGCAGAGGAGGCTGAAAGAGCTTACGAGGAAGATATGGAGCAGAGTAGAAGAACTGACAGGGAAGTTGCAAAGATACTCAAGTCATGGCGGCGGGAGACGCGGTGGGAGAGAGAGAGGTATAGCGGGGATATCTACTATTAGTGGTGGAATGGAATGCCCCCTCGATACAAAGGGTTTACACCAACACCTCCCAATATACATAGCGAGAACCTCATGGATGTGTCTACGACTGGCGTGAGGGCAGACTCGGAACTTGAGAAAGGAGGAATACACTCCTCATGAGCCCCAAGCTACAGACTCTGGTGACAGGCTTCGAGGTCGTCTCCTTGCAAGTGCACCTCCGGAGCCGACGACCAAGTCGACATCTAAGTCTCCTCTCGGAAAGGGGGTTTCTTTCCGCCTTGGAATTGTTACAACTTCAGATGGGCGATCTACGTTGAGTCTGAGTGAGCCAAGTGGATCCCACCGCCGGCGAATTGGCCGTAAAAGTGGAGCATGCTTTGCCGGCCTTCGGGCCCGCTTTGGACCCCTAGCGCCCGTGCCAAACTGTCGCTTTACTACTAAGCTCATTATTATATATGATATATCAACGTGTTGGGCCATCCCCTCTGCTATGATAGTCAATTTCCGTCCCTCAGCTTCCAATTGTAACTTCACCAGACCACAGAATGGGCCTCTTCAACAGCTCCATATCCTTCAACGCCCAGAACGACATACCGTCGCTCGAGGGCAAGGTCATCCTCGTCACAGGTGGTAACAATGGTCTGGGCAGACAATCCGTCCTCGAATATGCTAGGCATAGCCCCGCCCGGATATGGCTCACATCGCGTAGCCTCGACAAGGGCAGGGCCGCAGCCGACGACATCCGCAAGGAAATGCCAGGCGCCCCCATCGAGATCTTGGAGCTTGACCTCGCGTCCTTCGACTCAATCAAGAAGGCCGCGAGCACCGTCCGCGCCCAGTCAGACCGCCTCGACATCCTCCTCCTCAACGCCGGCATCATGGCCAGCGCCCCGGCCCTCACCGAGGACGGGTACGAGCTCCAGTTCGGCACCAACTACGTGGGACACGCCCTGCTCACCAAGCTGCTGACCCCGCTCCTCGAGAGCACCGCGGCCCTCCCGGGGGCCGACGTGCGCATCGTCTCTGTCTCCTCGGATGGCCACGCGTTCGCGCCCAAGGGCGGCTTCTTTCCTGAGACCTGCAAGACCACCGCCGAGGAGATGGGGCCCTTCGGCCGCTACGGCCAGAGCAAGATGGCCGGCATCCTCTGGGGCCGCGAGCTGGCTAGGCGATACCCGCAGTTCACCGTGGCCTCGGTCCACCCGGGCGTCGTCAAGACGGGGCTGGGCACGAGTTGGACCGGCGCGCCGCGGGCCCTGTACTGGCTGCTGACTGCCGTTGCCACGTTTGCGGCCAAGACTCCGGAACAGGGCGCCAAGAATCAGCTTTGGGCCTCGATGGCCAAGGATATCAAGAGCGGCGAGTATTACGAGCCGGTGGGCATCCCGGACAAGGCGTCCGAGGACGCAAAGAACGAAGAGCTGGCGAAGAAAGTGTGGGACTGGACGGCGAAGGAGCTGGAAGGGTGTAACCCTTGAGTCCAAGGCAGAGATGTCGCCCTTGTAAGTTGAGAAGAAGATGATAATACAGCATGTGTGGCTCATGTTGGGCTTTACCCTGCCTCTTTCGTGAACCTATTTTCCACATTCTCTGTAATATCGGGCTCCAGTACCACTCACATTTCATCTACAAATATATCCAAGAACATACATCTAAAATTCTAAAGTATGTACGCAAGATCCCAAGGCACTCCATGATGGTACCTCGTTTTCATCTCTCATCTAAATTACCACGACAGACGACTGAGCGGCCCATCTTTAATGGTTTGGGAAGATGCCAAAGCAGTTGGCGTAGTAAGTCACAGTAGCAGACCAATCCGAGAAGATGCCCACGACACCAACCTGCTGAGCCAGCACGTCGATCAGGTTGTACACGTCGCCGTCGTTGTTGGTCGCGTTGGCGATCGACGTGTAGTAGAAGCCCCCGCCGGAGCCGTCGCTCAGGATGCCCGAGCGCTCGACAGTCCAGGTGATGATCTTGAAGCCGAGGCGCTTGGCCTCGGTCGCGTACGCGGACGGCACGATCTGATTGTTGCCGTCGAGCTTGACGAGGTAGGGCAGCGGCGGCGCGATGACGTTGACGCCGGCCTTGCGGTAGCCCTCGAGGGCGGCGACGGCCTTGGGGAAGGTGGCGGCCGAGTCGCCGCTCTCGTCGAGCAGGACGGCCTGCTTGGCGAACTCGGGCTCGTTCTTGAGCCAGTACAGGATGTCGTCGTAGAGGAAGCTCTGGGGCCAGACGCGCGAGAAGTCGATGCCCATCTCCCTGTACTCGTTGACGAACTGCTGCGCGTACTGCGCCTGGGTGTAGTTGCCCTTGAAGGGCATCTTGAAGGGCGCCGTCTTGAGCTCGGGCGTGAACTTGAGGCCGAGCTGGTCGACGAGCCTGATCCACTCCTTGTGCGTCATGACCTTGCCGCAGGTGGCGTAGAGGTCGGTGCTGGCGCGCGAGGTGCCTCGGAGGTAGTCCTTGGCGTTAGTGGCCGCGGTGTTCTCGCCGTCCATCTTGGAGCAGAGCGTCTTGAACTCGGCGAGGGTGATGTCGCTGGTGCAGCACTTGGCCGATGCCTTCTTGCCGTTGGCCGCGGGCTCGAAGGGCTTGGTGCACTTGGCGTTGAGCTCGGGGATGGTGACGATGTTGGTGGTGCGGTGCAGGTCGCAGACGTCGTGGCGGCAGACGAGCTGGCGGTCGGCAGTGAAGGCGACGTCGCACTCGAGGATGCCGGCGCCCATGCGGGCACCGGCGAGCTGAGACTGGACGGTCTCCTCGGGGATGAGCATGGTACCGCCGCCACGGTGGCCGATGCTGAACTCGGTGGGCTTCATGGACATCTCGGAGCAAGAGAGCAGCTTGTCCTTGAGCGGGCCGGCGTCCATGTCATTGACCAGGAAGTAGGGGCGAGGTCCAAGCTGGACCTGCTTGACGGGGTGAATACCACCGCTGCCACCGCACTTGGTCTTGTTGGCCGGGGCGGCACTGACTTGCTGGCCGAAGGCCAGAAGGCCGGCGATAAGGAGGGACGTGGTCGACATCGTGACAGGCTCTCGTGTAGTCTGAGAGGGTGGGAGGTACTGTGTGTGGGTGCCGATGCCGCTGATCATTCCCTGAGGTGTGCCCGGGTAGTCCAGGACCTCTTATATTCCAACCTCTCTTACGCCAACATGGGTTCCTGGGTTCTGCTAGAAGAGCTAGAGCTCTCCGCTTCGATAGCTCCTGACATATTGGGAATTAGAGCTGAGTAGCCCGCTTAACACCCATCGTCATCGTTCCGCGATGGAAGGGCAGCCGAGAGCTCCAGCGGAGCAGATACAGGATCCTGTCGAGGGCTTCAACGTGCAGGGTTCTCCCCTCTCGAAACTCTTGTAGATGTATTCATTGGGGCAGAATTGTTAGGGAGGTACGTAGAGAGGCATTGCTGGAGAGTGGTGAACATGCTCATGATGGCAGACCGGCGAGGGTCATTGATTATCAGCATCGAAACCAGAGATACGCAGATCTTGATGTGAACTGGGGAAGGACAATGGGACTCCAAATCTGCGACAGGAGCACGTGTAGTAAAGCTTCAAGACCCAATGGCCGAGGTGTTCAGCAGTGCCAAGACGTTGTAATGGTGCCGGCCCATGCCAAGAAGCTTCGCTGCAGTGCTACATGGGCTGTGGCGGGGCGTGCCTGAGCAGTCGAAGATCATTGGCAAAGAGGAGTTTACGAGGCAGCTCAATCTCCCAGATGATGTTGAAAAGGAAGAGAGAATCAGTGAAGACTGATTGTGCGGCTGGAAGCAACTGCTTGTTTCCGCGATCCCCGGTCCGAGATCCAGATCTTTGGATTGGGCCCCGTGGGCCTGATCAGAGCGAGTGACAAGTCGCTATTTTTCAGAAACATCTGCTCCTCTACTAATTAAAAAGGCTTAAGCTTAATGTTCGCAGGAGACTCGGTGGTTGAAATCCAGGTCCCGTCAAATCAACCGTCGTCTTTCATATTCCTTACCACATGTTTGCGCCAAGCTTTTGAGCCAAGGCCACGGGATGCTTCGTCAGAGACAGAATGCTGAATTGCTTGTTGTATTAAACGTGCGCTGTCTATTAATATTTCAAAGCGCAAAGATCCTTCGTCGAATCGAAATGAGGTGGCTTCAAATAGCACGCTGTGAATATCAACGACCGAAGCGAATGCCATGAAATCAGAACCTCAACGCCTGTGTTCCAAGCCGGTTGGAGCGATGTATGTGTATGTATGCTACCAAAGGAAATTTCGTGCTCTGGTCGATTGCGCTTCCATCAGGGATTGATGGGATCATCGAGGAATTCGTATCCATCTTCTGGCGGGAGGACGAAAGCTGAAATAGTCAAGCCCAGTGCACTCAGAACGGCTAAGCTGCCACTGACGATGCAAAGAATCCATGACTTGTCCAATTTCCACCCAGGTACGATGAATTTCTCATCGTGGTCGAGGAGATAGGCCTGTAATGCACACCATCAGTACGGTTGCCGGCGAGAGCAAGCTCTTCTGTTATCTCAGCAAAACATACCACAATCGACATGGCGGCCAGCAGGATCGCCGCGACGATGGCCAGCATCCCGACGACAATCTTCCACCCAGCCTCCCGCTTCATCTTGCCGCCCATCATAATAACAAGGAAGCCGACAAGTGTAGCCAGCTCGGCGACCGCCGCAAACGACATGAGGAAGCCCGTAGTCCGCCACATCGAGCAGAACTGTCTCTCGTCTCCCAGGCAGTCTACGCGCTCTGGGAAGGGCCGGCATGGGGGGTCGAACTCGGAGGAGCAGCTCCGGTGGAGGCCCAGCTTCTGTGTGAAAGTCGCGCCCGTGTTGGCGGTGACGGAGTAGCTGACCCAGTCTGGCATGAGGATCGCGGCCAGGGTCATGGCGGTCGCTGTGCGCATCAGAGGTGTCAGTCACACGATCAACCGGCAGGCTTCCTGTAAGGCATGGGCGCCCGCCTGCGTTGATGCCGCAGTTTGCGCGCATTATCACGCAGTGCCACGCGTGTGGGAGGGAGCCAAGCACGATGACGACACATCAGATAAGGGAGGATCGAGACTTACAGCCAGCGAAAGCGACCAAGGCGGCGCTATATATCGAAATTCGGGTCATGGTAGCGATTCTCGAGTATTAAGCCCAAGCTAACAAACAGATATGAAGTGGCCTTTTCCAAAGGTTTGCTTCCTGAGGTTGGAAGAGAGATGGAACGGTGGCAGGTCAATGAGGAGACAGCACACAGTCTAATCTCTAATCGTGAATCTGGCTGCCTATCTTGACCGTTTACAGGTGGCGCACAGACCAGTTTCAACGGGCACCAAAGGCGGGGCTTCCCGATCCCGGTCATGTGTCACCGCCACGAAATTCCATGTCTTCAGTGTTGTTGACACTTCACCTTGTCGAGCTCCATTGCGTAAGCAAAAAAGTCACCATGCAATGTACCTAGCATCCCTCAAGGCTGCCGGGGCGCAGGTGATTCTCACTCGCATGACCATATCTTAACCGCCTCGTAAGATTGAAGGATGGCCCTGTCCAGCTCCGAGTCTGTCACTTCTCGTGTGCCAAGAGAAGGATGACCAACGACAGCACATTGGGCTCACGGGCAGCATGACCGTTGAAACTCCGCCCCCAAGCCCCTGCAGTCATCCCGGGCCCTCTGGTGGTGTGCAAAAAAGAGTATTCTTGGTGCTCATAGTAGTGGGCTGCGAGTCCCGGCCTGAATTGGGTCCAGTCAAAGGCACAGTCCGGGGATGATCAATGTTACCCAAGGCCAGAGCCTTATGCAAGCTCCTGTCGTTTTGTCCTGTCAACCGCTGAGGCGTGCATGTGGCGCGTCTCATCATGCAGGAGACACGGCCTTTGGGTGCGTTTCTGGACGCAAGGCTCCGGTACCTGAAGCAGAAAGGGCAATGTCGCCCGTACTTGCGCCGTCAATATATAATCAATTCATAATCCATCCTTTGATGTTCATCGTATTTTCCCTCATCCCCTACAGCCATGTACACACTCGGTACACAATGCCTCGAGACGTCGACGTATTTGACAGCCACCGCAATGCTCATCGAGTCTTTCTCGAGCGGAAAGGAGCCCACCGCTTCAATCCCTTTCGGCATATCCCATGGGATGTGAGGAGGACGTCAGATGATGTCGAGGGACAGCCAACTCACCACCAGGGTAAGTAGATCTTTTGAATACAATAGAGACTAGCCCGAGTGACACTAAGCCTCTTCGTCTTGACAGAACACGAACAACACGGCTTGCGAAAGCGGTTCAAGTCGGTCGCCCAAGGGAGGTCCTTTACTCCTCGGAATCAGATCCAGAGGACCCTGTTAACTTCATGGATAAATGTTTTGCTGGTCTGCGTCCCCATAGGCCTAGCCTTGCACACGATAAATGGAGAGTCGATTGAGACCTTTGCCGTCAACATTGTTGCCGAGATTCCCTTGTGGTTCATGTGCGACTATGCACTCGAAGAAATCGAAAAATACCTTGGCCCAACCCTTTCGGATCTCATCGATATCTTTACAACAAACACTGTCCAGATCATCTCCAGCATCCTTCTTTTGGTCAAATCGAAGCAGGTGAACTTGGTACAGACAACCCTAGTCGGGGGTATCCTGAGCAACATTCTGTTCTACTCGGTCTCAGTCTGCTGATCGGCGGTCTACCCAACCATACGCAGAGTTTCAATCGACTAGGAGCTCAAGGAGCGTCGACTCTCCTCTCCATCGCCGCTACCAGTCTTCTCATACCAACAAGTGTCAAACTTCTCGGTCAAACCACACAAGAAAACCTTCTCAAGCAGTCACGCGGCGTCGCTGTTGTGCTGCTGTTTGTGTATATTGCGTATACATTCTGCCAGATGGTCACACACCGCAAAGACTATTATGATGCCACTCTTGAAGGTGGCCATCAGCCTCGCGATACTGAGTTGTCATCGTTGGGTAGCCCTCCCTCGAACAAGAGTCTCCCATCTATCGCGCCTCCGATCCCGCGAAGGGCAAGCACACTCCCAAATCCCACAGATCTCGATAGATGTCATCCTCCCCTTTGGTCTGAGCGCGCTGCCCGACAGCTCCCGCCTGAGTCCAACGAGATCTGCGGACCCCAGCTGCACTTTGCCGTTGCGTTGTTTGTGTTCGCCGCGAGCATCGTTTTGCTCTACTTCTGCATCGACGCGACAGTCGACAGCGTCAAGGCCCTCACGGAGCAGACGTCTCTGACGCCCATGTTCGTGGGCCTCGTGCTGCTGCCGATCCCCAACTGTGACTTCGCGCCCATCTCGCTGGCCGTCGACAACTACCTCGAACAGACCATGCGGTATACGGTGGGGCGTAGCGTCCAGACGGCCTTGCTCGTCGAGCCGATGGTGGTGCTGCTGGGCTGGTGGACTGGCCTGGGCGAAGTGACGTTGGCGTTTGACGGGTTCGAGGTTGTGAGCTTGTTCACCACGATTCTGCTCTTGGGGTTCCTGATGGTGGATGCGAAGGTCCATTGGGTCCACGGACTCTTGTTGCTGGCGGACTGGGTGCTAATCGGCATCGCGGCCTACTTTGTTTCGTCCGATTCACTCAAATGACTTTTCTTTTATCTCAATTCGAGGCGTTGATGTCCCTGGTTCGTTGGTATTCTTGGCAGAAGATGCATCCATGGTTATACAATGAGGGTATATATCTATCTATGTGGTTAATTCTTAGTCTACCTGTTAATGAGATTTCTTTTCGTCGTAAGACATGTTCATTGCAGCATTTTCTGCGAGTTATCATTCTCAGAATAGACTGCTGAAACGTGAACCGTACTAGGCCCTCCAAAATAGTGACCGTTTGTTAACATGCACAATATATGAGAGCTGGACCAGGAACGTTTCAAAGATTTTGCTGTACGTTGGAGCGCAGGTTTGAGCATATAACGTGCTAATATCCGACTGAAGATACACAACATTACTTGCCGGCGAAACTTGCTCGGCGCTATGCATGGCTTGCAACCTGCAGCTTCTGGGACCGCAATACAATCTGATCTGGTCTTGGCTTCTCAAGGGTATAAATGGCAGCAACTCGCCCCTCCACACACATAGAGGCTACATGCCTGAACCCAACCCTCTCGCATTCCCAAAATTCAAAAGCCAAGCTGAGCTCGCTTCAGGAATCGACAACTCGCAGCCTCGAACTCATTTGATCCTGTGCAATCTACACCATAGGATAGAGACCGCTTCGTCTAGCAACTTCAATAAGATGAAGGCCTCTACGTCTAGACCGAGCCATAGCCAGGCACAGACGCAGTCCGCCGCACCCATCGCGCGCTTGTGATTGAGGATTCCTTCGAAGAATCGAGCCCGAACGCGTTCGACGACCAGATGCAGCATCAACGCACTACAGTGGATCACACGAGGTCAATCTCAGGGACGTTCAACTGGTATTGCTACCAAATCGACACACCGCCCGAACGACCCACGGACTAGTCTGGAGATCGATCCATGGGTAGTGGCGTACCAAAGGAACAAACAAAAGTCTAGCCTGTGCAGTCTTCCCGCAGAGCTTATCGACATGATCACGATGCAGCTCAGTCCCAGTGCTCTATATTTCTTCAGACAGACCTGACGACAGCTCCAGGTTGACAAGAGAGGAGACATTTCCTTGTGTTGTTGCTCCGAGTCACAGTGTCATGTCGTCTGAGAGGAATCGGACTAGTCAATAACCACTCTTTTTCTTCTTCTGGCGCGGCGAGGAGGGGGAGAGGAGGTTGCTATCTTTGCTATCTTGCGCCCACTCGTCCCTCGCTGCGCATTCTAGACCTTCCACTCTTGGTTAATGCAATCGCCCACAATCCTTTGTTAGGCATCATACACGGGGCTTCAAGATCCAGTCGTCAAAATGATCAATCTTCCAGCCCCGTCGCTTTCCGTCGCCCACCGGCGGCGTTGTTGGCGATAAGATAAGTTTTGGTGTTGATTGCTCAAATGTGTTCCACAAACGGCGGCAACCCCGCGCAAACAGATCCTCGGCACACTCCACATTGATCTGGCAGCGGAAGAGGAGATCGTGGACGCAGTGCAAAGGGAGCCCAATCCAAGTCTCAGGACCAGTCAAACCGCCGTGAAACACCCTCTCCAAGTGTCGCCGCGCCTACTACGCCCCGAGCATCTCGCCGCCAATGGCCACGACAGACGGCCTCACCCCGGCGCAGCTCGCCGCCTTCCGCCGCGACGGCTACCTCGTCGTCCCGGACGCCCTGCCGCCGGCCACCGTCCGCGCGCTGCTCGACGAGACGCGCCGCCTCCTCGACGGCTTCTCCCTCGACAACCACCCCATGACGCGCTTCCGCACGGGCACCACGGCCGACGACGAGCACGTCGGCGACGACTACTTCCTGTCCTCGGGCGACAAGGTCCGCTTCTTCTTCGAGGAGGACGCCTTCGACGAGGCCACGGGCCGGCTGGCGAAGCCGAAGGCCCAGGCCGTCAACAAGATCGGCCACTACCTGCACGCGCTGAGCCCGCCCTTCGCCGCGCTGCTGGACCCCTCCGCCGTGGCGGGCATGAAGGCGCGCCCCGCCGCCGTCGCGCGGGACCTGGGCTTCGCGGACCCGCGCTGCCTGCAGAGCATGGTCATCTGCAAGCAGCCCGAGATCGGCGGCGCCGTCCCGCCGCACCAGGACAGCACGTTTCTGTACACGGACCCGCCCAGCGCCGTCGGCTTCTGGTACGCGCTCGAGGACGCCACGCTCGAGAACGGCTGCCTGAGCTTCCTGCCCGGCAGCCACCGGTGGGCGCCCGTGTCCAAGCGGCTGGTGCGCAAGCCGGGCAACGTAGGGACGGAGATGGTGGACAACGAGGGCCCCAAGTTCCCCCCGGGCGACGAGTACGGCGAGGACAAGCGCATGGAGGGCGAGAGCGAGAACGGCAAGTACATCCCCGGCGAGGTCAAGGCCGGGAGTCTGGTGCTCATCCACGGCAACCTGCTGCACAAGAGCGAGAAGAACCTGAGCCAGAAGGGGCGGATCATCTACACCTTCCACGTCATCGAGGGCGGCGATGGCAGAAAGTATGACGAGAGGAATTGGCTTCAACCTCCCAAGGAGGGCTTCACCAAGCTGTACAGGTAAGAAAAAAGAGAAAAGAACCTAATCAGAATGAGACATAAACTTTGCATCAACAATTACACGTCTCTTTATTTATTTGTGAGCCGCTGGGCCGTGTTCTATGAAGTGTACTCCTTGAGAACAAACCCAGAATAGCCATTTCCGGATACCGAGTGAAATGCAGTACTACAACCACCATCGTTTTGGTTTTCCTTCCCCTTGTTCGATCGACGGAAACAATGGTTCCACCCTAAACCTGCTAGACGTCCTGTGCTCTTGTCCTCAGAGCGAGGACGGCACTGGATTATAAACAGAGAAAAGTGCGCAAGAAAACGTATCAATCCCAACATCAGTATCATACAATGCCCCAAGAATCCATCGATCACGAGAATGTTTCTCGGTTAGCTGCTCAAAAACACGTCGAAAGAATTAGACCGGCGGTACAAGAAGAGTCGATGTGCCGCGAAATGTAACTTGAGAAAGGGGCCAGATGGCCTGTGGCGGGAGCCAAAGGGGCGATTATCCCCTGGCGTAGGGGTGGTATCCGCGGTTGCCGCCTCGTCCTCCGCCCCGGTAGTTAGCGCCGGGTCTACCGGCATTCTTGGGACCGGTCGGGGCGTTTGCCGGAGGCGCGTTCTGCGAGTTCATCTGCTGCTGCTGGTGGAAGCCGCCGCCCCTATTGCGGAAACCACCGCGGCCCTGATTGGCGTTGGGCTGCGGGACGTCGTCGTACATGCCCTCCCAGGACGTCGGAGCAGCTCCGCCCATGCCGTACCCGCCCTGGCCGTACTGCTGCTGCTGGTTGTCCCGAGCACCTCGGCGTCCTTGCTGGTCGTACTTCTGTTGCTCAAAGACCTGCTGCTCCTGAGCATCGTAGCCCGGGCGGTTGCTGGCGCCCTGGTTACCGGCGCCTTGCGCACCACCGTCCTGGCCGCCTTGCTGCTGTTGCGCCATCATCTGCTGCATCTGCTGCATCATCTGGGGGTTCATGTTGGTCATGTTGGCCATGTTCGCCATGGGGTTGTTGCCCTGGCTGTCTCCGCCGCGTCCTTGCTGTTGCATCATCTGCTGCTGCATTTGTTGCATCTGCATCATCTGCATCATGGCCGCCGGGTTCATCGCGCCCATGTTCATCCCGCGGTTCATGGCCATCTGCTGCTGTTGCATCATCGCCATGTACTGCTGCATCCGCTGGAAGTACTGGGCCATCATCTGCGGGGTCATGCCTCCTGCAGCGCCCATCTGCTGGCCCATCGTTCCCTGGTCTTCCATCCCACCGCTACCTCCCTTGCGGAACTTGCCGCCGCGGCGGTTGGCCTCTTCTTCCTCTCGCATATTGCCACGCGGCTGTGCTTTCTTGACCTCAATCGGCTTGCCATGAATCTCAAGACTAGCGTTCAAGCAAGCGTCGACACCGGCATCGGACTCGAAAGTCACAAAGCCGAAGCCTCTGGGCCGACCGGTGTCCTTGTCCATCATAAGGGTGGCGTCAACTACACGTCCAAACTGAGCAAAGTAGTCCCTGAACTCCTGGTCCGTAGTTTCTTGTGAGACACCGCCGACAAAGATCTTCGATGTCTTCTCCTGCTCGTCGCGCGGGATGGCACGTTTGGGATCAATCTGGCCACAAAGGGTGAGCTAATGGTATGCAATACAGTGGGAGAGGAAAACCTACAATCTTTCCGTCCAGATAATGCTCCTTGACCATAACAATGTTCACTGTCTTGGGATCCTTGAATGTGAGGAAGCCAAAGCCTCGCGAACGTCCGGTAGCACCATCACGCATCACAGTGCATTCTGTGACCTCGCCAAATTGGGAAAAGTAATCCCGCAGGGACTCTGGGATGGGGGTCAGTTTTGGACATGTACCTATGCACCCAATTCAACTTACGATCAGTAGTCTCCCAATTCAGACCTCCGATAAACATCTTGCTATAGAACAATCACATTAGTAGACGCTCCAGGATGTTAAAGAGAAGGTAGGTTGGCCAGTGCTGTGTGAGGGGCGAGAAAACATGACAAGCGCCAGAATGGTGCTCTTTGCTTTGGGCAGAAATCAATGCTCCGCATGCATGCATGAGGTTCGACAACGGTATTGTCAAAGGAGGCAAAACAGAGGGCAGAGGCTAGGGTAGAGGCTATGATCGACCATTTGTGGTCTCCATCCCCGCAAGTGACGAACGCTTTCTGAGGGCTTGACTGGATCTCAGAGGACTCGTCAAATCCTCTTGAAATTGTGGGAAACCCGAGACCTTGGCATTCTTCGTCGTTGAATAGCTCATCGTCTTCAGAGACGAGAGGAATAAAATCTTCACCATGGAAAGAAGATACTTCGAGGTCCATTGCTTGTCGATGATTGATTTGGTGGTTGTTGCTCGTGGCGCTGGCGATGCCTGGTGATGACTTGGGGAACAATTTCCACAGATAATCCCCAATTCTCAGAGAAATGTGACTGCTGCGATGAGAGAGATGTGTCTCTTGTCGATGACTTTTGTTTCTTTCTCTGCCTGATGATCTGTTTGCGTATGTCTTGCTACCGGTCAAGCTAGGTACTGAACGAGAGCGCAACCCGCTGCCAAATCTTGATACGGCTTTCTCGAGGAGGCTTGCAGCTCTTCTCTGGCGATCTAAGATTATTTGTGACTGCGGGCCTATGAACCCCAGGAGCGTGCTCCTGGCTTGCCTGACTAGTGTATTCGACGTCCGCTTCGAGGAGCACTCCCGATGAATCCCTCATTCGGCCATGTTTCTCAATCCCAGGCAGAGGCAGCTTGCTCTCAAGTATCGTTCAGATCCCGCGCAGCTTGTGCTCTGTTTTGACCTTGTTTTTACTTGTTGCTCGATGACGACAAGACACGCGTCGACGGGAAGCAGTCATAGCGAACGCCCTCGAGTTCCAAGTAATCTTGGCACGCGACCACAGATTCCGGTCCCCCATTTGTGCCTCGATGATTCCACCCATAGCAGACTCGGGCAAGTTGTGCTGCGCAGTTGCCAAGCGGACCGCTCCAGCCGTTCTCGAGGCCCCAAGCCAATCCAAACAGGGCGGTCACAGAAATCATGATGCAGTGCTAGTGTAGGAAGGGAGCGATAATGCGGAACTTACCCATCTTCTTTGGCGTTTGGACCTTTGGTCATAGGAGCTGGCGCAGGAGCTGAGTAACTCGGTGTGTCATCGTGAGGCGCGACTGATGTGCTGCCATTGCCTAGGTTGAAGTCGACATCGTCGTCGTCATCATCGTCCACCTCATTGTTCGCTTGCCCACCACCTCCGCCACCTCCACCTTCGTAGCCGTTCGCGGTATTGCCATAATCATCTTGAAGGGGGGCTGGAGCAGCGGCGGGAACTTCTGGGACTTGGGGGGCCGGAGGAGCCTTTGATGCCAGATCGTCATCAGCATAGCTGCGTAATGTTAGCATCCAAAAGCTGTAATGTGTGCGACTGGTGCAACGTACAGATCGGCGAAGAGATCCTCATCAAAATTCTCGGGCTCAGTCATCTTGGAATCTTGGATAGTCGAGATGATGGCCGAGTCGAAGCTGCAGATTTGTCAAGGATGGCCCAACACCGCGAGGCCCAATTACGTCGAGACTCTTCTGATTCTTATGTCAGGTGTCAAGCTCGGTATTAAAGACGCCTATGAGCGCGATACACTGCTGAAGAAGAAAGAGAAGAGGAGAGCTGGATGAGGGGCAGGTAAGGTTTGGGACGAGGAAGTGAGGTTGTCAAATGTTTGGTGGAGCCCGAGGCGCGCCGATTGGAATTTGACTGGCTGAAAGGGTAAAAGTGATTTCGAGGTCTCCCTCGTCTCAGCCTGAGGCGCCCACTTTCACTCCCACAAACACGTTCTTCGAGCGAGTGGTCCGTGCACTAGCGCCTCGGGTGACCCTTCTCAGTGCGCTGTGCACACCGACTGCTAGCTTACCAAGGCCTGAAGGGCGCTTTGTTCCAGCGCCTTTGTCAGTGGGGAACCGCCCCAATTCACTGACATATCTGCGGGTTAGTGAGTCTAATCATCGCGGTGGGAGCACCCGCAAACAGATGTGGAGGGGAGGGGTAGGTAGTTACACATGCAGTTGCCAGCACCAGCCATAGACTGAGCATCGCACACTGGCTCAACACCGCCGTTCGTGAGCACTTGACCAACGTCACGGATGGGTCTTGACAGTCTTGCAAGGATGCTCCCTATGCTTCACTAGCAAATGTATGCACAAGAAGACAGCGATCATGTTCTCTTCGTCAGGCAGTGGCAAGAAGCCGCCTCCTCAGGTACGTTTCGAGACCCGACTTGCTTCAATGGCGTCACTCAACCTTACTCAGACTTCAACTAACCGCCTCACGCAGGAGATGGTGCAAGTCGGTGCGTTCAAGACCTTGATTTCTAATCCTTCCTCCCGCCTCGCAAGCTCTTCCAATCGCCTTTGACTAACCATGCTGCGCATGCGTCCTCTACAACAGACAGGTCCGAGTGAGTATGACAGACAGCACAGAAAGACGTTGGATATGGATTATACTGACAATGATCAGCTCTGCCTCCCCCTTCTGGCAGGCTCCTCAAAGAGACACCGGCAACAAATCTGGCCGTGATTCAAAAGTTGTCGGGGCATCATACTCCCATGCCGATATGCTCAAGTTCGACTCGTTGTAAGCTCGTCCTTTGTCGCGCTCCTGTTACCTATCGCAGCTGACATCAAGCTTCAGGCACCTCTCTGGGTCCTCGCCTCGACCACGAACACCCCCCTCATCGTCCTCGTCCCGAATTCGGACTACCAACGTGACATCCCCGCCGGCGAGGCAAAGCTCCGGGCTATCTTCACCGCCCTTCAAGACCTATATGAACTTTCTGTCCAGGACAAACGATGACTGGAATGCTGAAGAAGCTGACGAAATGTACGATTATGATGATGATGACGGCGATGAATTTGGCTTGCCCAGCCTTTCCAACATGAAACGGAAGTCCATACGTATGGCTGCGCAGAATAACAAGGACACGGGCATGGATGGGCTTCCCCCGGTGGACAGATCTTTATCAGGGCTGCATACTCGAAGATACTCGGATAGCGCCGACATCGCAATTGAGCGGCCTGCGCCATCCTACCCCGTCCCGAAGAAGAGCGAGGGAAAGATATTGAGACCCCAATACAAAGACATACTCGAGGACCCCGCCAACGCTCTTCATCTAATCAGCCATCCCCCAGCCCCTCCCAATGCCTCGTGGAAGGAGATGGACATCATGGCCTCGAGGATCACCAGGATAAACAAGTTCAAGATGTTATTGCAGGCCTCCACCATATCACTCCCCGATTTGAGAGCTCTGGCGTGGTCAGGCGTGCCGGAGGAAGTACGGGCAATGACATGGCAACTGTTACTAAGCTATCTGCCGACCAGCAGCGAGCGACGGGTAGCCACCTTGGAGAGGAAAAGGAAAGAGTATCTGGACGGCGTTCGACAGGCTTTCGAACGCGGAGGAAGCAGTGCTACATCATCAGGACGTGGCAGGGGCTTGGATGAGGCGATCTGGCACCAGATCAGCATCGATGTTCCCAGGACCAATCCCCATATCGAGCTGTATGGTTATGAAGCCACCCAGCGTTCCCTAGAGCGTATCCTATACGTCTGGGCCGTTCGTCACCCCGCCAGTGGGTATGTGCAGGGCATCAATGACCTGGTCTCGCCGTTTTGGCAGGTCTTCCTCGGCGTTTACATTGCGGACCCCAATATTGAGAGCGGCATGGATCCCGGACAACTTCCGAAGGCTGTCCTTGATGCCGTGGAAGCAGATTCATTCTGGTGCCTCACCAAATTGCTGGACGGCATCCAGGACCATTATATCGTCGCTCAACCAGGCATTCAGCGACAAGTTGCCGCGCTGCGGGACCTCACGGCGAGGATAGACAATCAATTATCCAAACACCTTGAGAAGGAGAATGTCGAATTCATCCAGTTCAGCTTCCGCTGGATGAACTGTCTGTTGATGCGAGAGATTAGCGTCAAGAACACCATCCGCATGTGGGACACGTACATGGTTAGTCATTTCATCCAGCTATCAGTTTTCTTCATGCGCAAGCTGACATGCCTTCCTCAAAGGCCGAAGAGAATGGCTTCTCCGAGTTTCATCTCTATGTCTGTGCAGCATTTCTCGTTAAATGGTCGGACAAGCTCTGCAAGATGGACTTTCAGGAGATTATGATGTTTTTGCAGTCCTTGCCGACGCGAGAATGGACGGAAAAGGATATTGAGCTGCTGCTCAGCGAAGCGTATATCTGGCAGAGCCTGTTCAAAGGCTCATCGGCTCACTTACGGGGTCCTACTACGCGCAGTCCGTCAACGAACCTGCAGTTGTGACGGACCAATCACCGAGGCATCTTTCTGCTTGACAGAAGCATTGGCGGCCTCACAACCCCGCCTCTCTGCAGCTTCTCTGCTCTCCCGTTAGCTTCAACCAGCTGGGCTTCACGGGTGGGTGGGGAGGGGGGGGGGACGGCCATATTCAACAACGTTGCGGTCAAAGCTGCGGCGCTCGACCAACTGAATCAAACGAAACGGTGTCACAAACCTATCAAGCTCCAGAGGCCCTATATTGAAACAAGACTTCAAACATCCTGACCCCCTCAGAAGCACACCGCCCTCAACTCTGATAAGATTGGCGGATACGGGCTGCCGGGATCAGATGACGTGGCCGAACCGTGGGCTATCACAGCCTCACAGCATGAGGTCGCCGGCCATGTCGCGCAGCCCCCAGGACTGAGGGGCCAGTCATCTTTTCAGACTTAAGCATAAATCTTCCGAAGAGGGTGTGGTCTGTTGTACTGCGTCAAAACCGTACCGCATCGACCATGTTTCTCATATACAAGCAACTGTGTCTTGTCTGTTTTGCAGCTCCGGGAGACCAGCGATGGCAGCGAGGCGCAGTGCTCCATGAGGCTTTGGCTATTTCGGTCGCGCTGGTGGATGGTGTGCCACCGAGATGGGAGCAAGTCTTTGTAATGCTGCTGCGATACATTGGGCAACAGAACGGGAATACATAGAGTCGTCGGTACACAAAATAGCTTGCATCATCTTGGTCGCAATACATGAGCAATTTGCGGGTGCTTATCCATTACCGTGGACTGGAGCAACACAACGCAGGCTTAGCCGTGCCATCTACCTAGCTACTGCTACTTGTGCAATGCCGTCTTCCCGAAGGTTGCTGGTTTGCAAGTTCGTCTGCTGTAGGCGACGAGAAACTGGATATACGAGCTGGTATCTAGATCTGGGCTAGGGTCCGGGCCGGGCCTGGGCCATGTGTGTTGAGCAGTGGCTTAGACTCATACCAAAGTTTTGAAAGATAGGCTGGAAAGATGTCTCGATCCCGGCTGGAGACAACGGTTAAATGGAATGGCCTCGCCAAGTGCTCTTGAAGGGATGAGGGGGTTGGGGGTCGGCTCGTCGGCCTCTGCCGGAAAGGCAAACCGAGCAGTCGGAAGCCCCAACAACCATGAAAAGGAGGTTCCCGCCCGATGATCAAGGGCCCCGGCTGGCGAGCTGCTGACCCGGAATTTTCACCCGTCGTGTTGTACCAGGTAGCGAAAATCATGGTTTCACCTGGCGCCCTGTGCGATGGACCGAGGACCAAGTAGGTATCTTTGTGGGGTGGGTTTGCACACCTGTGGAAAATCAAAACGGACAGACCGTTGATGAATGCGCGCTTCCGCATGCGAGCTATGCGCTCTATGCGTGCATACTCCGGATAGGTACTTCGTACAAATTGCTAATATCATGGCTGACCTTGAAACGACCCATTCTGCTGCCGTCTATCCCGCTTCGTTCCAACTTCAATTGCTTGCTTTCACATCAACATCTGCATCAGCAGACTTCAGCTCTTTAAAACCCTGACTGCTGCCTGACAAACAAACACTGGAGCTTCGATTCACCACCCGAACTCTTCTCGCATCTGATTAGTGCTCTGTGGCCTGCTATTCTGAGCATCATGCCGTCAGCAAGCAAAGCAACAGGTTGGGTCGCCTGCAGGTGTTGGCTCATTGCTCGATGCTGGTTCGCTGGTTCGTCGATGGCGACATGCCTCGATGGCGACACCATCGCCGCGGACTAGCATCTCACACATCCTAGGATGAAAAGAAACTTCGGCAGCTTGGGCAGCCACATCATCCCACTTGTTCTGACGACCGAGCCCCGGCACATGTGAGACCCCGGTTTCCGTCAGAGGGAAATCTGAAACGCGGAGTGAACTTGATGAACCAATTGAGTATGGAAGTCCCCATCCACTGCCGGTGTGATCCCTGTAGCTGATCATCATCCTGACACGACCTGTTGCAGGCGAAGCCTTTTGGTCTAGGTTTTGGCTTTCCTCTCTTCCTCCGTCCTGCCACACACCACGCGCCTCCCACGTTACCCACAGAAAATTGCCCCCAATCATCCCGCTCTATCAGAAAAGTGTCGACGTGTACAGTTGACGGGCCTCAGTGGCTTTGCCCGGCTTGGCTCTGCTGACTGGATGAAGTTACCATTGGCTCGGTGCATGCGTCGTGACGCGTAAACAAGGGCTCTTCCCAGGCTCCATGTTCACCATCCCAACGCTCCCGCTCGGGCAGATCAAACCAGCATCCATGACGAAACCACGAATGATGCCCGTTCTTGGACCGAAGGTTTATGCCAGCCGGAATCGGAATCGGGGACCTAGGAACGCGGAACCCATCTATCTGATGCCTCCTCAGCTCGGCGAGGGAGTTCTTGAATTTGCAAATGACTGACTGCTCTGGACCCTGAACTAGGGATATGGCGGCTTGGTTTGCCTTCCCCAAGGTAACTCCGGATCCCTATCTCACATGAATCGACGGTGACCTTTCTTTCGTCTTCTCTCCCTGCACGAGTCAGCCACTGTCCTCGATACCCCAATCTTCTTCTTCCTTGACATGCCCTAGAGCCCATTGCACAGACGCTTTAGTGAGCGCGTTGTCGCCGCGGTCGGCGATGGTTCCGGTCACAGGTGGAACCCCCAACCCTGTTTCCTCCGCAGATTCAGTGCTTCGATACTCCCCATCAGTGTGAGGTTTCAAGCATGGTCGAGTCTCAGCTTCCAGTGAGAGCAGTCTCAGCTTGTAGATCGTCTGCATGGCTGCGCCTCGGTCCTCTTGGCTCACCACCAACCACAGAAGCCCGGACCCAGCACGCGCGGCGATGTTCGTTGCCGAATTTCCTGCGAATGGGATGACGCATGCTCGTCCTTGTGGAGATCTTGATGGTTCAGACGAGCGTCCAAGCCATGATCAACGATACCCAAAACTTATGCACTCGTCTGCTATCCAAACCTCCAGCTGCAAAATCCGGGAAACACAGCATCTCCTTGTACCATACCTTCTTCATTTTTGGCAAAGCCTTGATCTCTGCTGAGCCAGGGTTGGGTTAGCTCCCCGATAGCCAACTCCCTTGGTAAGATCGAGGACCGATGCAGCTGCACTCGGGAAAGTACCGTCAGACGCAGCTTACAGCGTCTTGTACACCAGTTTATTCGCTCTGGCACCAGTCAGTGTGGAACCAGTTCATGGCAACCCTGCTGATGAAGGGAAGGGGCCGCTTGGTGTATGCTGTGAACGTGGAGCTCTCTCTCGGGTCCAAGCCCACCTTTGAGCTCGAGCGCTTCGGGCCCAAAGAAACAGTGCTTTGCATTTGCCTGCGACTCCATCATATCTTGACCAGGGTCCCCAGATCCCCAAACCCGTATCGTCTGCAGAGCCTCCTGTCACTTCATGCGCCTCGTCTGAGGTCGACCTCGATCTAGTATTAGCCCAACAAAAAATGCCCTGAGCAACGAGAAACTCCTCTTGTTTGTTTTCTAGGCCCTCGTTGTCTTGTTTGATCGTGCTTGATCGGTCTTCACTTCTTTTCGACTCCCTAGGCCGGGGTTCTGTGCGCTTTCTACGGCTCTATGATCTTCGCTTTCAAACAGTTCCTCTGCTCGGTTGTAGGGATATCCCACGCTACTGCAAAGGCTCGAGTTAATCTCGTACCTATTGCTTTGCTTCGCCCTTGTCGGATAGACCTTTTCTCGACTTTGTCCTTGTTCCCTTCTTAAAAGCCTGTTTGCCGTTTCTTCGCCAAACCTTTTGTTTCTCTTGGATCCCCTTTTCGTGATCGTCGACCAAAACTTGGTGCTCCCCTGCCCACAGCCACTCGGTACGTTTCAATCCTTCGCAGCTCATCTGGTCGATGCAAAAGCTCAGACGTCGATCCTGCGCCGTCGACCACTATTCTTTCCTGCTGGTCTATCAGACTTTCCCGGAATTGGACGAGCAACACACCTGACCTCGCCGGCCTGGCGATCATTCTGTTGGCGATATAACCCTGGTGATCCCGCTGACTGGAAGGTGGTCCAGTCCTCCTCCGGTCTCTGTTGCAGTATATGGTGCTCGAGCTTTGTGGCTGGTATTGAGGTCGAACAAATCAGGACAGTCTCGATATAATCGCTGCCGGCCGGAGGTTGTTTATCTTTGATGCTAGGACTTCGGGACGCGAACGAATCTGGCCTTTTCCCCTGGCACAAAACTGTTCAGGATCGACTTCAAACTCGTGGACTTCATTCTCTGGAGGTGGTGGCCGGTCTTTCCAGTTCTAGGCCTGATAAAGCGACGGGAGGGTACCAGGAAACTTGGCACCGCCAACAACACTATCCGAGGAGTTTGAGGTTCGACTACAGAGTCAGTGATAGGATTGGTGCAGGGGATATACCCCTCTTGAGAGCCGCAGAAGAGACGGATCATTGGTGGAGCAGTGACAGTTGGGCTTCGGAAGACGCATAGGCTGTCAGGGTGAACAGCTCGACCGACTGACCTACTGGACGACTGCCTGGTGCCGGCAACATGGATGTGACGGCCATGTTGAACACCTCCGGCGGGGAGACGGTGATGAAGGAAGAGTTGGGCCCGCTGTCACAGCTTGAACCTGCTATGACGAGCGTTGAGCAGAGCTCATCCACCTCTGCCATATCGTCTGCTGAGAGTACACCTCACGTGGTAACCTGTGAATCACGGACACCAAGTCGAAGTCGGACTCCCTGGGATGCTGGAGGCTACTCTCTGCCACTAGCCTCAGACCCATTTTCGATCCGAACTTCATCGCTACCTAGGATACCCCACGATCGCGAATCACCAACAGACCAACCTAGTTCGGTAGACTTCAAGGGGGCCTCGCCTCAACATAAATTCTCAGACAGCCGCAGCAGCCTGTCCTCTTACACACCTTCCTCCACAGCCTCTGTTTCTCATTCAAGGATATCTTCTCTCTCCACCGTCGGAGAAGACCAGACCTTTGATATAGATACAGCAGCCGACAACACCTCTCTTAAGACTCGAGACCAACATTCAACGACTCCAGACTCGAATTCTTACACAGACAAGGACGCAAGCATTCCTCAGATCTTTCAAGCTGTGTCTGATATTTACTTGGCGCGGTATCCTCCAAGTTCTTCCGAGCGACCACAGTCTCCATCTGACGCTGTCCTGATCACTCGTGAACAGGAGCTTGATAAGATAGACGCGAGGTCAGTGAATCACTGCCTTCCTTTGAACAATAAAAGTCACTTCCCCAGCTCTATTTCTGAACACAAATCCGACACCATTCAAAAAAAAACAACCACAACCACCACCTCCCAGCTCTTCTGCCCACAACCAAGATTGAGCAAAGCCACTTCACCTTTCTATTCCCTTCTCATCCTCCTACAACGCACTTTGACTCGTTCAATAAAACTTTCAATCCGCTGACATCATCTTAACTTGCATAGCGCGTGGTCTCATCGTAGGAACGGCCGCTTCCATTCCGATACTTCACCTCTGACCAGAGGTCATAAACGCGCAGTATCAGCACCAAACTTCAGAGTCATGGCCAACCCAGGCATATCACCCACTGCCAACATGGGCCCGATCATGGAACCCAGCCCCGGCGAGTCAAATGAGAGCATCAGCCCTCGAACCAGCCAAGGACTATCTGCCTCGGCAACTCCTCCAACTGAAGTCGCCGCCCATGACGCCCATAGCTTGGTGGGTTCGGAAGAGCCCCATGAGGCTGAGCTGAAGTGCCTGTTCCAGGAGAGCTGTGATCTTCAGGCACCCCTCCGAAAGGCCATCTCGCACATCTTTGGCAGGAACAAAACAAGCACCAGGCAGGTTCCCAAGGACCTGTGGGTCTACGTCTGCCGCAAGCACTACCAGCGCTGCCGATACCGAAATGCATCTGAGTATGCACGGCTACAGTGCGATCTTGTTCACACCCAGATCGATCGCATCATGGCTTGGAGTGATGAAAACCAACAGAAGGGAATCAACACTGGCGTTGTCAAGGACTGGAGTATCGGCATTCGGAAGCGCGAGTTGGAGCGCCTCAAGGGAAAGAAGGGCAACGGTCGCAAGCGCGCTCTGCAGGATGGCAACGAGGGGGATCACGACGAGGACGAAGATGACGAAGATGAAGCCGCAGACACAGCCGAGTTGAACGGTACGGCTGTGCCCGAGTGGCTGCTGCAGAGAGTCGGCGATGGGTACTCTGCCGACGAGATCCGACAAGTCATGAAGCTCATCCAGGCTGCTCTAGACGATGAGTCTCTCAAACTCATTCCCGACATTGAGATTCTCATCAACTTCGTGGAGGAGATAAACGACAGCAAGAAGGCAACAAAGCGGCGGAACGTGAACGGCCAGGTCCATAAGCGGTCGCAGTCGGTTGGCGTAGGCATGCGTCGAGAGACGCTGTCACCAATGGTTCGACGCCCGAGCCACCCTGGTTTCTCCGTCCACGACAATTACTCTCCTAACGGTCATGGCGACCACTACCAGCACCCACGTGGCCGAGGAGTGGGTGACTTGGGTCAGCAATACCCTGCCTTGAACCACCCTCCGGAGCGACGCCATGCTGTCCGCTTGCAACTGCCGCATCGGCCCGCCTTCAACAACATTCAGGAGTACCAGGCTCAGGACACCTTCCCAGCCCCGTCTCATCATGCCATGTTCTCCGGCTTCCAGGGCTTTGGACAGACTCAGCAGTCTTCGTTTGCTTCGCCGGGCAGCAGCTCTCAACGTCGAGCTAGTGTCTCGATGACACAGCAGCCTGAAGCATTGCCCCCTCGTCGGCCCGCTCTTCACCAGCGCTCTCACTCGGAATTCAGACCCGCTCAGCCGGATGGCCCTGCCGACTACCGTACGAACTACTCCTCGGCATATGGTAACCAGACCTTCCCTGACCATAATGCTTACTCGAGATACGGTTCTGCCTCGAATGAAGGACATGCCACCACGAGCTCGGCCCAGTATGCCTACGGCCCTTACCAGACCCCCCTCTCGAACGCGGCTGGAGCAAGACACTACGACAGCATGCCGTTGGTAGATCAGGCCTCGCGGGCTCAAGACATCCACACTCGGCTGCCCCAGGTTCCAGAGAGCTCTGCCAGGTCGACGCTCTATGCAGGCCGAACCTTCCTCCCCCCTGTTGTTCCGCATTACGGCAACAACCCTTTCGTCCACCACGACTCAAGCAACCAGTTGCCTCCGATCGCCGGCCACCCGCCGTTCCAGGAAATTCCCCCGTCCGGTACTCCTAAGCCAGTTCAGCCCAGGACTGTCCAGGAGACTGATAGGGCAAAGGAGATCTTCAGCTCCCGCCGCTAGTGCGACACACACATCTGGCTACTTACCGGCTGTGGGCCCGAGGCACCTCAGCTGGTCGGCCTCTTCCGATTCAGGACTTTCCTTGCTCTTGCCTCTTTTTCTTTTTTGCACATCTCCTTTCTGTCAAGCAATCACAGCCACCCTTGCAAGTCTTGCACCTAGTTGTGCAGCTGGGTACCACTGTGATACTTCAGACCTTTGAGGAGCGATCAAATAGATGTGTACGATGTGGCAGGCGCCTCTTTCCCTTCTCGGCTTTCCCCAGGATGCTCTGGGACCGGTCAGGGGTTATTATTTCGACAAAGACCCGCCTTAATGCTCTCACCAAGTATTGCTATTCCTGGGCCCAGAAAAGCGGCTCCATGTGAGGCTTAGACCTCTTTCAGTTGTACTTCTATCACAACTTCAACCCCTACATCTTTATTCTGCCCTAATTTTCTTTCAGCGACTCAAACTCAGCTCTTTTACATCAAGCCAAGACATGTTCAAGCATAGCAACACAAACCACAAACACAACTCAGGCTCACAGCCACAACTCCTGGACAAGTCATGACTGTTGTTTTACGGTGCAGTCAGATGGTTTGGAAGACAAGCTTGATACCATGAGGAATCTCTGGGAGATGCCTGGGGCATGGCAGACAAGGGGGGCTTCTCTTGATGAGTACAATGGCGTTGGGTCTTTTTAGGTCGGATCATGGGAAATACCCGGGTTTTCTTTCTCTCGTGCCATTGAGCGCTGATTTCTCTATTTTTTCTTTCTCCTTTTCTCCTAATCATCACGGCTCACGGATTCGACGGGAAAGAGGTCCGACATGAACCTCTTGGGCCAGGAGCCCCGAAAAAAAAAGCTGGTTACGGGACACGGAAAGCGTTGTTTTCGCTCGTCGTGGACACTTCCAGGGTGAAGTGGCCACGAGAGAGCATGGGTAGCATTGACTACTGAATAACAGTTTTTCCTCGAGAGTCTTGGTGGCATGTATCGTGATATCCCGTGATCTGGTCACGTCTTAGCATCTCCACAGTCCTAGCCTATGCTAACCGCGGCCTACCGCCGCCATCTTGTTTGGACGGACCTCCGATGCGGCGCCACAGCCGGCGCCGTGCGTAGTCGTGAGCCGGCGGCAGGGAACCTTGGTCAGGGAGAAGCCAAATACGTGCTCGGATTCAGCTCTCTCCGCCTGGGTAATTCGAAAAGTGGCAACTACCCGAGTCGCCCGGTCGTGTGCCGAAACCTGGTTTGGTGATTCCTGACCTCAATCTTGCTCATATTAACTGACTAAAAAATACCAAAGACCGTGGATTTTAAATAGCGAGCCCTTTGCCGCGGCATGCTGGGCAGTCACGGTCCCAAGTTATTCCATCTAAGGGGCGCAATATCTGGACCCGACACTTGACATACATACACCCTCTTGCCCCCCTTCACTTCTTGACCAGGCTACCCTCTTCTCCTCTTTCCTCCTTCTTCCGATCTTGTTTTCCAACTTGCACATGATATCATCATAAACTTTCTTTTTTGCAACCATCACTGTTGTGTTTGTTTCGAAATCGTCAATACGATGGACAGCCCGGCAGATCAAACTAGACCTATAGAATGGGTCAACCTGGTCACCGTGATGCAGGGCAGCAGCCCTCATATGGAGCTTCCACCTATGCAGTCACAGTCGTCTGTGTGGGACATTGTTCGAGGTGATCTGGATGATCACCCTGCCGCATCCGCTGTCGGACCTAGTCCATCATCTTCTCCGTCCCTGCCTCGGCTCGAGCCAGCGACGTCACCGCAAGGCTCCAGCGCCACTGTCATCGTCGACCCTCCATCCGCGACACAGGGGGATCCCGTACAGCGGGCCCTTGAGTTCGGCGAAAGCTTGGTCGGCTCCCACGCCCGCCTGGCGGACATCTCGCGAACGCTCGTCCAAGCAGGGCATCCCGCCAAGCACTCCGGGGAGCGAACGCCCCGCGGCCGCAGCGCGGTCGACGACTCGCGGCCCCTCGCGGAGTTTGACGTCAAGGAGCTGCGGCGCGAGCGCGACAGGCTCGCCGCGGCCTGCGGCTGCCTGGACAGGGAGCTCCTCATCATTCACGAGGTGGCCTCGCGCGCCGGGGAGGTCTTCCTCGCCTCCGCCGAGAAGGTCGTTGAGCTGTCTGGTCTCATCGACAGGCTCGACAGGCTCAATGAGGCCTGGTCGGCCATCAGCGTCCGGGACGCCGAGACCCTCCTGCACGGGGCCGAGGGCGGGGCCGGCCTGAAGCGCAAGGCCTCGGCGGAGATGAGCGTCGCCGTCCCCGGCCCCAGCCCCAAGAGGAGGAAGGTGGTTTCGGACCCGGACGAGGTGCCGGACGATGCCTAAGCCCCGGATAGGGATCGGGTCGGCCCGGCTGAGCCAGGATTGCGGACTTGACGGGTCATGATAAGGGGTTGCGTTTTGGAGAAGCGAGGAGCTGTTCTTGACCCCTTTTGGCGGTAATTTTAATGAACAATTGGAGGAAATGTGCTTTATTTCTATGGGACAGGAGCCCGGGCGTTTGTTGGCGAAACAGGAAGCGTATCATTTGTTGTCCCACGACGAGCATTGCGGCAAAGTATTCTTGGTCAAAGCATGGGCATGATGGTCTGAGGTCAGACAGGTTTCTTTCTTGGATATTTATATTATTCTTGCAATTTTTTATTTGGCATGGTAGCATTTGACAGTCGTATTTCATTACCACATCCCTTGACGACCAGTCGCCACTCACTGCCTTTCATGACATGTTGCCCTCCACCCTGCCTTGAACGGAAAGTTCTTCCCAGTCTCGGAAATGTTTGGCTCCAACCCGCCTAGCTGGATGGTAAGTGTCCTTGTTTTTCAACACACTCACTTTCGTCTCTCTTCAAACAGTCGAGACAGCTTTCTCTGTCTTTCTCATATGCCCTCCACGTTTGGGCTGATATCAGCATCTCGCCCGCAGCTCCCCTCGCTGGAGCCACACTCATCACCTCACTCGTGCCAGTTTTCCATTCCCACCGTATCTACTCGTACCTACGTCAAGGGAGCCTCAACCTGCCTTCATCATGTCAAATCGTCAGTACTCCACCTCGACATCTCGGCTAGAATATATGATGATCATGATGCTAACCTTTCCCCAGATGCTCGGCAGTCGAATCGGTCTCTGGACCCTATTCCATCTCAGACTCCGCAGGATGACCGACTTGAGACTGGAGGTGCACAGCTCTCAACTGCTACTGCACCCCTGGATCATGTCGGGACAGGTCGTCTCAAGGAGAAGGAACTGTTAAATAATGGAGAAACTTCCAACCGGGATTATGCAACCGGGCTGCGCATTCTGGAACTCGAAGGTCTGTCAACTGACAGGCTTCGGCAAGCAGAGAATACCACATCCCAGCTCGTCCTGGCTACAAACCAGATGGCAGCCTCCTCGTCCAAGGTCCTCTCGCAGATAGATGGGACCAAGCCTCGTCGCCATTTCGATCTCGAGCAACTGCGCCGCGAGCTCGACGTGCTGGAGCAGAGTCACTCTCTGCTGGATGAGGAGGTTCAAGATCTAGAAGATCTCGCTGATGAGTGTCGCTCCGTGCTGATTGTGTGCGAGGAAGAGCGGAACAAGTTGTTTCAGTTCATTTTGAAGTTGGAACGGCTGGACGCGATGAACGCAAACGTCGGTATTGACGACCTGCATAGCCGACTCCAGGTCAGGCAGAAATCGAGCCCCGAAAGTTCGACGATTGCTGCATCCACAGTTCTCCGAGCCAAGAGGCGACGTCTTGCTTAAGGGGAATTGATGTGTCTACCTGAACACAAAGCCTGGACTTTCCTTGGAGTGCTCAGGTTGAGAATCACATATCGATGTCGGGGCTGCTCCAAACTGGTATCGGAGCTTCGAGCTGGGTGTTGAGGCTATCTAATTGGAGGAGCACATTGCAACTTTGCACTTACTAGTCGACTCCGGGTCTTGCTTCATAATGCTGATGCTAATAGATTCACCTTGATATTTGGAACCTAGTCATACCATAACTACCAGATACTGTTGCTATACACTTCACTTCTCTCCTCATTGTAGCTTCAATCGCCCGATCAAGCATCCGAAGAGCGCAGCGTGAATATGCATCATTGCCAATCTCCAGATAAGAGATAGAGAAGCTCCTGAAAGTAATACTGCCATGTGAAACGAAGCAAAGTCCCGTGGTAATGTCCACAAGGCTTGTCTGTCTCCTGTCCTACCGCAGGACAAACTGTGCAGGCCGCAAGTCGTGCACCTCGTTATCACCCCGAAACAACTCCCCATACATGATACCATGTACATATGCCTCGCCGACCAACCTCCACCTCCCCTGAGCCTCTGCCTTCTCACATTTCCGCAACACATATGGGAATTTGGCACCCCTAAAGATCACCACTACATCCCCAACCTCAACACTTGCGGGCGCGAGTCCTACCAGACCGGACTTAAGTAGGACGCCCCTTCGATATGCCTGCCATCCGAGCATGTTATAGAAGCCCGAAACATCTTCACTTTGAATCCCGGTTTCCCCTCCAGAAATCCCGCTACGAATCTCTTCCAGGACACCTTCGTAGCCCCGAAGAAGTCCTGGAAAGGTGCCACTGCCTTCCGGGTCTTTCGATGCCCGGCGGATAAACCCGATCCCATATTGTTCCATGTCCGCGATGGGTATGCGCAGATATGCGCTTGCCCTATCCTCAGGGTTCGGATAGGGGTCCTTGCCATGACTCCCAGATTTGAGCTGCTCCTCTGACAAGCGGCATAGTTCTTGGATCCCTTGCAGATACCCTAGCAGCCCTGGATGGCTTTTGTTGACGCCTTCAGGATCCGGGCACCAAGGCTCTGGCGCAAGTCGGTCAACTGAATCAAGGATGTATCCACAGAGCCTGATCTCATCGTGACTAATGGGCATTTGTGAGTCGGATGAGAAAGAAAGCAGTGTAGCTCCGGCGGATACATCGAAGGAAGAGTCCCAAGGCAGCTGTCCACAAGGTCGTAGAATCTCCTTCGACCAGTCTGGCACCCAGCTTGGAATGTCCTCTCGATGTTCCCGGTGCTGTGCTAGGGACAGAATGTCGATATTGCCACCGTCGATGATTTTCCGTGCCGTAGTGGTGTATATATCTGCCGAGGTCGTATCCGGGCTGTAGTCTGGAGTGATCTCGAGTAGAGTTGCGTCACTCGCCAAGCCAAGAAGGGCGAAGATTCTGTCCCGATCCTGAGTCGCGCAGGACCGGAGGCCGATGTGTACCTTTGCCAGAAGTCGTATCAGAATCATACCCTGCGCGGCTTCGCCGTGATCCCCAAAGCGCAGTCGCATTCCCGATATGCTATTGGTTTGCGGGTTGATTTGATTATTGCACAAAGTCATGAACTGACCGGCGAGCTCCGTGACGTCCTGTGTCTCCATGATGCTCACTATGTGTCTGTGCAGCCGCTGGACGACGTTGATGGTTAAGAAGGGGAGGTATAGCAGGCATCCGTGAAAGTGGTCGAAGGGTACTACCTGCCCTCCACAGCGAATGTCTATGTTCCTTGATACGACGTATTCCTGGATGATCCAGACGCGATTCCAGTATGGCCGCAGAGACAAAGCGCGGAGGCCGTTGGCCATGTCTATCACCTTGGGTATGTCCAGCATCGCAGCCGAGATGAGGTCGGCCAAGTCGTTGTTGATCTCTTTCTCGAGCTCGGCGTATTCGGTATTTTGGTTGCTGGATAGTCGAGCCAGAGCTATGAGTTTGCCTCGAATACCGCTTTCCTTCAGCATTCTCCCTGTTCTATTCAGCTCTTCTATTGTCGTTTCGCTGCCGTCGGAGGCAGTCCCCAGCCAGACGATTGTGTTGGAGGCTTCACCGTATATATCCCTCATCTGGCCGACTTGGTGTCCCTTTTCTTCGGTGTCGCTTTGGTTGATACACAGGGCGTCGATCCACAGATGAACGTCTTGTGATTTGCGGCGAATGTGTCGAAGAGCATCGCGCAGGTTGACAGTGACTTGCCGGGACTGCCCGTCGACTATGATGGTTGCTGTCTCACTGGGGTCGCCCCAGGTGTATGAGAGCGTCTCGTATTGGGGATCTTCATCGCGAAACGCATGGTACAGATCGCAGGATATTGGAATTTTGTCATCTTCGCCATGGCCTTCCCTGAGAGCTATGTCTCGTAGTTTGTTTATGATGGCAGAGAGCTGAGGTGTATGTGCTGCCTTGGATGAATCGATGGAATGGAGCCTTAGCAGTCGAAACTCGGGCCTGTCCAGACGAAGAGGACGATAGCCATCCATGGTTACTTGCCTGAGATCAATGGATGACTCTTTTTCAGGACAATGAAACAAGATTGACTGGAGATTAGAGAATGTCTCTGGGAGTTTAAATGCACATGTCCGTAAGGGTGAATCTTCAGCTCTTCATGCGTGACCCCACCTCCTTCAGCCGCACGCACAAGTGCACCAACAAGCAGCTTGGATGAGGATATGGCGCTTGTGATAGCCCGAACACAATAGCTGATTGGAGTAGAAGCATTCGGGTGGCGGTATTCTCGTTTCATCAGTCGCAACATGAAACGCTCCTGGCTGGAATTCGGTATGGTCTCGACTGCGAAGCATTTCCGTGGTCTCAAGATTTCGTTCCAAAATCAGGAAAGATCTTGGCGATTCACATGATATCTTAGAAATGGGGTGGACATGCGTTGCCAGATGAGAACAAGTGAGATCGGGAATTCTGGTATCCAACCGCCAACACGATCAACCAAGGGTGACCCTTCAGAGTTGATCATGCCTGCAGTCCCGTCGACTTTAGGCAGTGGGACGTCGGCGACAAGTTAGATCAAGCGGATAGTATAGTCTAAATCAAACTATAGGAAAACAGGTCATGACGTTGAGAGTGTCACTTTCACGGACCTTCTGACGAACAGCAGAGTTGAGGGCCAGACAGGTCCGGACGAGGACTTCTTCGCAATATAATCAACAACACGTCCCAGATTCCATTGTTTGATATTGCCTCGAACTCGCTACACTCCGTCCGGCCGCCTCGCCAGCACTGTATAAGTCGGCGCGGTCTCGTAGCTCCACTCCGCCAGCTCCTTCTCCACGGCAAACCCCTTCTCCCGCAGCAGCGCCTCGATGTCCTCGCGCAGCCCGCTCAGCTCCGACACCTCGACCGCGACGTTGCGCACCATGGCCCAGTGGCAGTCGTCCACGCCTCGGAGCACCTCGAGCTCCCAGCTCTCCACGTCGATCTTGAGGAAGTCGATGCGCGCCAGGTCCTCGTATTCGTCGAGGAACCGCGACAGCCGCTCCACCCGCACAGGGACCTGCGTCGCCCCCGCGCTGGACCGGTCGATCATGCGCTGGTAGTGCTCCTCTGGTAGGGCCTTACGAAGCAGTTCCTTCTCCTGCGGCACAAATGTCGAGTTCCCCGGCGCGTTGGGGAAGTAGGTCAGCATTTTCGTGGAGGCGGTGGCGGCGGGACTCCCAGAGCCCAGTGCGCACTGGTGGGCGGCCACGTCTGCCGGGGCAACGCCGTGCAGGGCCAGGTTCCGCTGGTACAGAGAGAAGATCTGGGGTACGGGCTCGAAGGCCAGGATGCGCGCGGCTGGGTACTTGGCCTTCATGTAGAGCGTGAAGAGGCCAATATTGGCGCCGGCATCGATGATGAAGGGGTCCGCCGGTAGAGTAGACACATCGTAGCAATGGTCTTGATAAATTTCCTTGTAGATGAAGCGTGCGTCTCGCTCGGCGCCGATGTAGACGGCCAGGTCCGGGCCGAGTTCAAGGAGCTTCGGCTCCGACCCGCTATGGACACCTGATGATGAGGCCGGGGCGATGTTGTCGGCAGTAAAAGAGGCAGGCATAGAGGGTATGCCTCCTGTTGGTGGTGGTGATACTAATGACATGGAGATATATCCTCGAGCTGACTACTCTACGTATGGAAGCCAAAGTACAACCTAAGTATCTGATACGATTCTTACAGGCAAACGCCCTCCCTTATAAGTCAAAGGCCACATTTTAGGGCGAAGTGCGGATAAGCTCGACTTTCTCACGGTCTGCCATAAGCCACCTTGGCGGATAAGATCGACTATACCACCCCTCGAATGGTAATGGGAGATCCGGCACGGAGGGCCGCCTCACTTGCAGGTGCGGGGAATTCCAAGAGGAATTTTCCGGGGGGCGCATGCATGGGGAGACGATAGCTGCTCAGGCCTCTGAGATAGTGCTGACAACACCTTTGTCGATAGATTTCATCTGAGATGTGAATACAAAGTGGATAATGCCCTCTCCCAAATCCAACAGACCAAGAGCTTGACTCGCAGGTCTTTACTCGACGAAGACAAACCACATGCGTAGAAAGAGTATGGTAAAGGCACGGTCCTCCCTGTAAGCAAGTGAGGCAGCTAGTTATGAAGACCTAGGAGAAATCCTTCCTATGAAGAAGCAGGAATGACGGGGGGGGGGGTTGGCAGGGGTCCTGGCCGGCTTCCCAATTCAGTTCCACAGCGCGTCTGGACCGGCCCGCCGGCAATTTATACAATGAACCGAGAGGATGAGCTAGTCCATATGCGACGACGAAGACCGAGCTGCGCTCTAGTCGAAGGATCTCAATGTACGAGTCGGTAGTAATGAGCTACGAGTGAGGTCCGGAAGAGAGGGAAGAGAGCATGTGTTGGATCACGTGACACCCGCTGGCCAACGCAACTCCCTACTTACCTCTTTTTTAGCCTGGCCAGCACTGGGGATAAAAGCTTCCTTTCGTCATCCATCATCCACGTCCCAGATTGCAGAATTGAACAGGCCTTTTGACCACCCCCATCGGAGTATTTGCTGTAGATCTGGTTCCTTTTTCCCTTTGTTTTTTTTTTGCCCTTTTCCCTGATGTGGTAGCAAGAAGTTCGTTCTCTCGTTTTTACGATTGAGCCGAATCTGACAGTCCTCATACCGCATCACCGGTCACGAAAATCGAAAATCACAAAAAAATCACAAAGTCACGAATCAAAAACACACAAGCAAAATCCCCCGGGTACACAAAGACGACACCCAGCCAGAGGACGAATCCCATCCTCTCGGCGAACGCATTTCGACCAGCACTGCTGGTAATCAAGGGCTGGATAGCCCGGGCCTCGTGGCAGTCGTTTGCCCGATCCCCTCAATTCAACTGGCGTGGATGCCAAACAAATTGCTCGATATCACTCGGCCCAGATCCAGAAACCGTTGTCAACGGGTCTGGCCACCTCACTACCTGAATGCCCGCAAAGAAGAAACAAGCACGCACCCCAAGACCAGTAGATTCCTCAAAAAGTCACCCGAAAAGCCACCCGAAAAGTCACCCGAAGCTAAGCCCGAGCCTGAGCCAGCCCCCTCAGCTTCTATTCAGAGTCCTCCTCCAGAGCATCACCCCTCCCTGCCCTGCTCCTCACAAGACACCAGCATTCTGACCGGGATCAGAGCACGGAAGACTCTCGACATCGGATCTGACACCGCACAGCACTTGCCCCTGTTCTCTTAAGCGGACACACCTTCACCAGCAGCGGCAGCAGTGGCGATACCTGCCTTAGCGCTCGACCAAGACCCCTCAGCGGTCAAGTCTGAGCCCCCTGACCTATACTTGCTCCTCCTTCCCGCTCCCCTCAGTAGGAAGCTTCTCGGCCGGAACAACAGAGACTGGCTTCCTTACCAACTAGGAACAGTCCCCCCCTGCCTTCCGAGTCCTCCTTGCCAGTGCAAGATAGACCTTCATCTGTCGCTCTAGGAAAGAGGCCATCATGCGCCATTCTTCCTGCTGGTGAGAGCAACACTTCGTTCTCGGGACCGTCCTTCCATCAATTCCGGGACCCGGCTATTCCCTACGAGTGGCACCATTCAGAAGATTCATTGTCTCTAGTCAGAGAAGTCAGAAACGATCTGCGGGGCTTAGCCTTGATCAACCTTCGGAGAATCCGGGACCAGTTCCATCTCACTGGACTTCCCTAAACCAGCCTGAACTCTCTTTAAGTCCCTACCTGCACTTCGCCTCCAAGAACGCGCCCTTCAACCCCTTATGTTACTTCTGTTCCTGTCAAAATCCAACTTCGCACTCTGACGGACAGTATGTGAGGGCATCGAGCACCGCCGACATGGACCCAGGACCCTCTTCCAACCAGAATGACGGCTTCGCCGGAAATGTTAACCCAGTCTGAGATCCTGGGCGAGACGCTCGCAATTCGGTATCCCAGATCCGACCCTACTCGTTTGCGGAATACGCTAGGGGTGCCTTTGATGAGAAACCCTACGGTTCTTACCCCCATCTGAATCTCCCGGCACACGACTGCACACTACCCAAGCGCAAACGGACAAATCGAGAGAAATGTCCAAATCTTCACTATGGCATTGATAACCCTCCTGGGCGCAAAACTCGATCTTCAAAACTGGGAAGATTTCGTCCCGCATGTTGTACACTCACTCAGCACGTCGGTGTCGGACTCTACTACATGCACCCCCTTTCGCTCCCCTTTACGGACGAGAAGCAAAGAATTTCCTGGTGCCAACTCCCGAACATGGCGAGTTTGGACTTCAACAGCAGAACCTCCGAGACGAAGCAGCCTATAAGGTGCAATTGGCCCAGACTCGCATGAAGATTTACTATGACGACCAACATTCCAAACTCCAGGACATCTCTGTGGGAGATTTCGTCTACGTCAAGTTGGCAAAACCAGGAGACCGAGGATACCATCTGAACAATCAGACCAAACTCTCATTTCGCAAGACCGGCCCCTTCAAAGTCTTGGAAAAAGCTGGGCCTCTTGCTTACAAAATCCAACTCCCCCCATGGCTGAAATGGAATCCAGTCATCTCTGTGTCTCACCTACATCCAGCGAAGGATGATACTTTCCAACGACCCCAACCGACGCCGGGAGCAATCACGAAAGACGGCATCAAGAAGTTTACAATCGACGACATCGAGGCCCATCAAGTCACGGCCAAATCCCCAGGAGAGCGCAAGACGATGCACTGCAAAGTGAAGTGGCTAGGTTACGAGGAACGCACATGGGAGCCAGAAGAGGAACTCCAAAGGATGTTCCAAGGTTGCTGGAGCAGTACCAGGGAAAAATTGACAAACCCCCTCCAGGGCATTTTCAGGCAGCACAGTTGTAACACGGGCGCTATTTTATCTCGTTCCAAGTACTGGAGCGGTACTTGGTAAACTTATTTTTTTACCCCCCATATCTTCAAGTCAATAATCCAACAAGCGAATCCCCCCCTGCTTCAAAAAAACCATCTTCCCCCAGCAACCACTACCCTCTCCCATCAACCATTACCTTCTCTTCACTTTTCCATCATCATCAGTTGACTCACATGTCAACCGAGCATTGACACTTGGGAACACTGAGCATTGACCAAGTCCTCGCATTGTCTCATTGTTTTTGTTTTTTCTCTCACGCGACAGAAAAACCTCACGCGTATAAAAACCGCCAACTCTCCCATCAACCACTACCCTCTCCCATCAACCATTACCTTCTCCCATCAACCATTACCTTCTCTTCATTTTTCCATCATCATCGATTGACTCACATGTCAACTGAGCATTGACAAAGTCCTCGCATTGTCTCATTGTTGATTTTTCTCTTACGCGACAGAAAAATCTCACTTATATATATAAAAAACCGCCAACTTGACAATTCTCCCCACCAACTCCCCAATCCGACAATCACGATGGCAAACCCTCCATCTCCGACTGAGCCGTCTCGTCCTCTCGACATGACACCATCTGCGAAGACCCTGCCAGTCCCTGAGAAGTCTCAGACTGAGCCGTCTCGTCTCCTCAACATGACACCATCTGCCGGCACCTTGTCGTGGATGTATGAGGACAAGCCCATTCCCCTAGATTCCCTTGGGAAAAACGCAGGCAACACTCTCATGCAATGGTGCCGTCAGCGCCACAACCGAGCGTTTGAAGAGCGAGCCTCTCCGCTTGCGATGGGATCTCTACACTCCAAGCGTACAACTGAGGCCGAAGCCTCAGCAAAGATGGAGGAATCCCTTCGTGAAATCGAAGAGCATGCCACTCTTCGCGCCAGCATCCTGACAGAGAGCGCACAAGACAAGGCAGAGCGACAGACCCTTGCTGAGGCCGCCAGGGACGGCGGGTACACTTATAACCCCTTCGGTTCTCTTGATGAAAACCGAGCACATCAGCAAGAATACCTCGCACGTTCCAAGCTCAAGGAACTGGCACGAGAACAGCGTCGTGCCAACAACCTTTTGCTGGTGTCTACCGATGAACATCGTGAAGAGGCCTTGACCGATCGAGCCTACAATGTCGAAGACCCGGAGTTTGAGCAACACGATGACAAGGACGACTCTGTCAAACCTCGACCTGAGGCGAATCCAGGTTCTGCAGTCATGGTCGAGGTGCACTCTCAGACCACAGCTGAAGACGTTAAACGACAGCTGCTGACCAAGCGACACGATGAGCATGGTATGCCTCTGCCCCAGCGTACCCAACATGTGGCATGCATCTTGACAGTGGGAGGCAAGTTCTTGGTCCCGTATGACGACAAGCACGCTCAGCATCTTGCCAACCGCTCAACGAACACCTTCCGCACTTCCCTTCAATTCAGAGTTGCGGAATATGGCTACACCGAGGTCCTCATTCTCTACACCATCTCGCCTACTCCCGGCAAGGACTTCACCTTTGCGCAGACCACACTCTTCCTGAAGGACTTCACTCTCCCTCCCCAGGGCAGGGACATCTCCGCGGAGGAAGCAACTACCCTGCTTAGGCAAGCCGGCTTACAGGGTGAGGTCAACTCCAAGGCCTTCCATTCTGCCATGGCCATCGCAAAGTCGGGATTTGTCTTCCAGTTCAATCAAACCGCTCTCGACGCCTTGCTCCTCACCAAGCGCAAGGCGGAGACTCTTGCCCTGTGCAGCAAGCTCAAGACGATTTGGACACAGGACGAAGTCACGCTCGAGTCCTTTTCGGACGTCATCCTGTGCCAAACTACTGCCCTTCTCAAGCAATGTGAGCACGACTGGAAGATCATGAAAGGCAAAGATCCATTGGATCCCCTCTTTGCAGGATGCGCCAAAGCCCGAACCTTCAACATGGGAAACATGGTAGATGACATTGTCTTTGACTATGCCGAGCCTTCGGTAGTGTATTTCCGATCTGCCGACCATCGCGCTGCCACCCTCGCATATGGTGCCAAAGCCGAATTCGACTACGCCCAGGCTCTTGCCGCCGAGCTAGCGGACAAACCCTGCAAGGCTACCTTCATTCCGGCCCATCGTCCGAAGGACGGTGAGGCCGTTTGCCTCTACTATGTAGTGGTGAACGAACCAAAGGCTGCAGATATCATGCCGGTGGTGGGCGAACATGTCACCTTCAAGATCGACTCTCACCCAATCTACCTCCCAGAGGCACCTGAGGAGGAATTCTCTGAGGAAGAAGTCAATCTACAAATCGTCGATCACATCCTCAAAGGCTACGCGCAAGCGACACGCATTGACGATCAAGCCTTGGCTAGAGCCACCGTGGCCTTGGCTTTTATGGACATCTATGACGGACCTGCAAGCGAATTCCTGAACTTCGCAGAGAGCAAGCTGGACAAACTCACTCGCCGACCGAAAAACGATGACATTCCGAGAGAGACTGTCGTGGAGCACCGACAGCGTGTCCTTGACTTCGTAACCTCGGCCATGGAGCAGAATCAAATCAAGCCGCCGAAGCGCGACCCAGCGGCGACCAAGCCTTCCTGGTCGGCGACCCGAATCGAGCCAGTCGACCTCATGGCAAATGATCTTGATGCCAGGTCTTGGGCATAGCAATTTCTTCGCCACCAGATAGATGAGCATGATGGTTAGAGAGCCTTCTCAGTGGTGCTATGGGGTCCGCAACCTCAGGTTCGAGATGGATGTTGTTCGTTGTATTTCATGGCCGTGTGGAATTAAGCTGTATATAGTGGGTATTAATAAGGAGTAATTGATTGATCCATCTTCCAATTCTTGATCCCAGAAACAGATCAAGGCTTGTGCCCTCCGGGTATCTCTCGGCGCAAGGGGCAGTTGACTTGTTGAGAGGTGTGTGCATCTATCACACCTTCGTCCCTTCTCTCTGTCTAAGTAGAGGCATGCTAAGTCTATATATACACTTAAATTGTACAAAAGAACAGTAGTCAGTCGAGCAATAGAACTGCTCAGATGACATACTAAGGCAATAAGAATTAGCTGGAGAAAATTGGTTTTTTTTAAAAAAAAAAAAAAAAAAAAAAAAAAAGGAAAAAAAAAGAAAAAGAAAAAAAAA